CAATATATTGGATCTCAGAGTTTCAAAGGACAACCACGGGGTCATCTACTCTAGGTCATTCTCTAACCCAGTTCAAGACTTATGTTTTTTTAGTGTAATTAAACAAAGGAACAAGCAAAGAACAACAACAAAGTAATGGAAAACCTCTAGGAACAGCGATTCCATAATCTTCCCTGGTTGCCTATTCTAGTGTTTAATTACTCTTTTTGTTATAACGAACCTATTTTCTCTTTTTCCACCTTCTGTAGAGAGGGAGAACAGCTGATTAACATTCCTTTTATGAAGCTCTTCATACACATCTTCAAACCACTTCTTAACTTCCAGGTTAAATAATATTTTCTCTCAGGACATTCAATTAGATTCAATCTCAGAAATATTTATTAAGCATCTGTTACATGCCAGGCTTCTGTCTTTGGTGTTGGGAATTCAGAGATTTAAAAAAAAAATAAAAAAGGATGCAGGGTCTTCCCTTGAGGCACTTCCAATCTACTGGGGCTGATAGGTTGCATTTATACAAATAAATGTAACCAGCAGGTGGCACTCTCTAGCAAGGTTTAAAGATGTAGGTTGAAAGTGAAAGCCAAAGAAGTTTAGGAATATAGGCCATCTTTTGTTCATACCTCTTTTTTTTGGAGGATGAATGCCTCACTGAGATGCATACAGGGCAAAGCTGGCAAATGTTTAACAACCAGCTCTCCAAAAAAAGATTGATATGACACTTTAAAAAAAAACTGTACTATTCACATTTTTTCCCATCACTTTCTTAAATTTAGCAATCAACAAAACAACAAATCAAGCCCTAATTTGTAGAATTTGCTGATTTCTACAGTGTAAATGCTCACACTGAAAATATAACAATGGGCTTCCCAAGTTGAGTTGACTCCAGCACATCCCTAGATGTGTGGTACTCTCTGACACCTGAATTCTGCTTTTTCATGCCTCTATAGCCTAGGAGTAAAGGGGCCTGAATCACATGGTTCATCTCTCTCTGATATTTAAGAGCATATAACATGAGTTATAAAACCAAGGCCAGAACGTTCTCTCGTATTTGGCTTAGCCAAATATTAGTGGAAGCCCTAACATTTTGAAGTCAAGGTTTAATCTTCTATACTGTTTTGTGCTGACCGATCTTGTCACTGGCTTCATCCATTATAATTTCTCCTCTTCTCCCCATACAATTAGCAGATGTTAAGTCATAGATAATTTGCAACTGGCAATAGTTTTTCTTTTTTAATCAAGGGTAAACTAGCTTTTAAAAAGCTTTAAATAAGTTAGTTTGTAAGCAGAACTAAAGAAATAAGTTTTTAACATACAGTTAACCAACCAGGGTGAGCGTGGGAAAGGACAGCCAGTTACACCTCCTGCATCAGTTCTTCTGCGGAGGAATATCCAATAACAAGAAAACACACCGGTACTTGCAGCATCAAGCTTCCCTGTTGAGGCAGTATTTGTGCAGCCTCTATTGCACATCCTCTTTCAAATTAGACATGCTTCCAACCCAGGATGTTATTGCACAAACTCCTCCCAGGGTGGGTGCTTTTTGTAAAAGATTGTGATTCTCCGAATATACACAGTTAGGTTTCAGATTCTTACCCTGCCCACAGGGAAATCAGTCTGAATATCTAGTTACATGAATATAACATGAATCAGAATGCAGTGGAGAAAAGGAAAGCACTACTTAAAGTTCTCTAGGGGTATCTGATGAGGAGAAAATACTTTTAGCTGTGGTGGGGGTTGGGAGGGGGTGGAGCAGCATTGCTGGAAGGCTTATTGGAGGTTGTGGTAAATGAGCTGAGCCTTGAAGGAAGAGGATTTCCACAGGTAAACAAGAGACATCATCTTTCTTTCCTCAAATTTCTCAGAACACTCTTCCTGGCTCTCCTTTGTCCCTATCATATTCCACTTTTCCACATCATACTTATTTGGATACCTGTCATGATCCTTATTAAACTGTAAGTTTTTTTTTAAAGATAGAACATTATTTTTCATCTCTGTATTTTCAGTATCTAGCACAGTTGCCTGCAAATAGTAGCCATGTGAGGTGTGTTAACTAAATTGGATGTGGGACTTTAAATGTCAAAAACATTCCTTGTCACTTCTCTGACTATCCCCTTGCATCATTTTAACTTTTGAGATAACAACATTGTACTGATGACTCATGAGTCACCTGATAGCATACTATGGGCCACAGTATGAACATTTCAGAAAATTGATGAAGCAGTGAGGTGAGCCATCACTTTGGATTTAATTATGACTAATAAGGAAGGACTGGTTGGTTGGCAAAACAGAAGGAACAGAAGCCCTGGCAGAAAAGGGCCTTATCATATTGCATTTCCTAAAAAAGAATTCTGGGCACAGCCAGGGATCAATAAAATCCCATAGTTGCAGTCTCTAAAAGGAAAGATGGCATAAGAAAGACAAGACACTCCAAAAACAAAGTTTTGACAATGAAACCACAAAAGATCCCAATGAGAAAAAAGGGAAAAGGTCTCTTAAATAATTGTGACTGTATAAGAAGTTGTTTGATGAACTGATATTTGAAAAAAATGTATATACCAAAAATAAAAAGAAAGCAAATAACAAAGATGAATAGAAAAGTGTGGAATGAATCTATAACAATCATTAATGTCTGGAAGTGTGAAGTCCTAAATGAATTATGAAGAATGCAATGGCCTTATATGGGTGGGGAACCTGTAGCCTTGAGGCCATATGTGGTCCTCTGGGTCCTCAAGTGCAGCCCTTTAACTGAATCCAAACTTCACAGAACAAATTTGGATTCCATCAAAGGGCCACACTTGAGGACTTAGAGGGCCACATATAGCCTTGAAGCCACAGATTCCTTACCCCTGGTCTGGAAAAACTAGGGAACGATGGGCTCGCTCCAAGCTTAGTATTATATGTTAAAGATAGGATAATTACACAACTACTATTTTGTGCCCATCTCTTCTATTATAGAGAACAGTCATCAAACTGGGAAAGGTGGAACAAACATGATTGAAAGAAAAGTGAAGCTCAAGATGGGTGAAAAAAAAGCACTTAGCTACTGAATTGGGCTCAGGTATGTAGGCTCAGAGGAATTACATCCTAACATAATATAAGAAGTTGCAGATGTCAATACAGAACCATTATGACGCCAGAAGAATAGAGAAAGATAAATGTTGAGAGAGAGAGAGAAAGAGAGAGAGAGAGAGAGAGAGAGAGAGAGAGAGAGAGAGAGAGAGAGAGAGAGAGAGAGAGAGAGAGAGAGAGAGAGAGAGAGAGAATATGAAAATCCCATTCTGGTAGCTTTAAATAAATAAAAAGAAAGACAGGAGAGAGAGAAAAGAAAAACAGAGACAGAGAGAGACCCACACAGAGAGGGACACATAGAGAGAGGAGAGAGATAGAGACAGAGAAAGAGATAAAGGCAGAGAGGCAGAGAAAACAAATATTTAAATCTGGAAATTATTGACTAATGAATTTGACTTCCTGGTAAAATTCTAGAATAATGGTGTCAAACTCAAATCAAATAGAAATGGGGCCAATAAATTGTACATTAGGATCCTTAGGGGCTTGCAAATTGACTTAGAAAACCACATAATAACATTATCTATGTTCTATTGTATTTTTTTTTTTTGGTTAGGCAATGGGGTTAAGTGACTTACCCACGGTCACACAGCTATTAAGTGTTATGTGTCTGAGGCTGGATTTGAACTCAGGTCCTTCTGAATCCAGGGCCAGTGCTCTGTCTACTGTGTCACCTAGCTGCTTGTATTTTTGCTTATTTTGTTAAATATTTCCAAATTATATTTCACCCCAGTTTCTCCGGCATTCTGGAGTATTGTGGGCAGCATTGCCATGTGTTTAGCATTTCTGTCCTAGAATGAATTACTGTACCAAACTAACCTTGTGTCAGTAGATAAGCACAATGCCAAAGATATCCATGATAGTCTTGTGGATGGAGCTAATAATAGTGTGAGATAGTATAGTTAGGTGAACTAACAATTGGTTGCACTACAATCTGCTAAAAGATTGATGGGTTGATGTCAACCTTGTGAGGAGATATCTCATGGCATGTTGCAGTGCTCTGTATTGTCCCATTTACAAAGTATTTCCCATATTTAGTGTTGGACCTGAAGTCAGGAAGACCTGAGTTCAAATCTTTTCCCAGGTACTTTCTCGCTATATGACTCTAAGCAAGTCACTTAACCTCCATCTGCCTAAAGTTTCATCATTTGTAAAAGTCGTACCAGTTGAATTACATGTAGAATATTGTGCTAAGTTCTGGGCTGTGTAATTTAAAAGTTCCATTGCTCAGCTGGTGTATTTGGAAGACCAGGACAGAAAATGGTGGCAAGCCAAGATAAACTAAAGATGTACAAACTACCTAGGGGGATACAATAGCTGTTGTCAAACATTTCAAGGGATTATCATATGGAAGAAAAAGTGGAATTTGTTTTACTCCAGAGGGCTGAAACATTATCAGCAGGTGCAAATATTATGGAGGCAGATCTTTGCTTCATGAAAGGAAGAACTTTCTAACAATTAGAGCTCTATGAAAATGGAACTGGCCACTTTGTGAGGAAGTGAACTTCTCATCATTGGATGTGTTCAGGCAGAGGCTGAATTCTTATCTGTAATGTTGTAGAGGGGATTTCTATAATGCTTGGACTAGATGACCTACCATAATATGATTTTAGATTTGGAAGAGATCTTAGAAATCATCCAGATTTCTTTTAGATGAGGAAACTATGAACCAGACATCCAAAGTAACTTACCACACTAGAAGGACCACGTAAGTCAACAAAGTTGCTTGGTCCTTCAAGGTATTCTTAAATTCCGGTTCTTCTAAAGTTAAGCATGTTACAGAGACAGTAAATGGTAGAACTGAGATCAAACTGAGGTGTTCTGATTCAGATTGAGCCCTTTTCCCCACTACAATCATGCTCATATCTAATCCAGAATTAGGTTATTCCATGAAATACTTTCAGAAACACAGACACTGAAAATCATGTCCTAACCTTCAAAAATCCTCAGGACCTCTTGATTTATGTATTTTTTTATTTCTTCAAATGAAACTGCATCAGCCTGAAGAAAAAAATGAATGGATTGTTATAACATAGCATCTCACAATGAGGAAGGAATAATAAAAAAAAGTTGGGCTTCTAACTATATCCCTGCAACTACTAAAGAGATAAGTTTAATCAAAGAACAATGTTCTTCAAGGCGGAAGCTGCAAATATGTTTTGTTTTTGTTAATCAAATGCTGAAAAGAAACTGAGGTGCTTAATTAGCTTCAAAACTTGTTCTGGGCTGTGTTTATATATTAGCCATAAGGGTGTTTTTTTTTTTTTACTATATATGGACAAGTGTTTCTGCATTACCTAACTAAAGAATATACACATTTCCTTTTCGGAAACTACAAAGACTAGACATTTTTATTATTATTATTACAACAGATTTCCCAAAGATGGTAGCTATAGAATGTAAACTCCTTGAGGGCAAAGATCAGATTTTATCCTTAAATCCCTAGTGCCCAGCACAATGTCTAACACAGAGAGGTATTTGATATATCCTTGTTGACTGACTGACAGGAATTAAGTTGATCACTAAAGGAAACTGGGAAATGGAAGAGTTAAGAGTTGGTTTAGTAGGTTTTCAAACCTTTTCCAGGCAGGACCTGGAATAAATAATAAATTGGTGGATATTATTCGTTGGGTCCAAAATGAGACTTTATTTTTAGGACTGAAAACTACATATTATTGTATCTGTACTAAATAAAACTCTCCTTACTAAAATGATTTAAATCTGAAGTTTACATAGTCACAGAGATAATCAGATTGAACCATCATTTGGACTCAACTAAAAAAAAAAGCGGTAGTAGCTCAGACCTGAGAACTAGAGAGAAAGAAGAAAAGATAAAGCCTTTCCAGTCAAGCTTAATGGTGTAAGCTTTTTTTCTTATGTAAGCTATTTTTTGATAAATAAGGCCACACACAGGTGCCAAACTTATTCCAAATCCCTATTAAACATCATTCAAATCTGATGTTTTATACCACCAGCTATGAATTTTAATCAGTATGCTATTGCTTTTGGTGCCACTGGGATTTAAAAAATGTATTTTGTTTATTTTTAAAAGGAAATATCTAATTGTTCAATTTTGGAGATTATGAGCAGCGTGTGCAATGGCCAGGGAAAGAAGGTTAGCACAGAACTCTAAGTAAATTCCTTTTTCCTTGTTCCATTTTCATTGTATAGAGGGCAAAATAAATTGGAAACTCTCTTGGCATGGTTTATAAAATAAGTTACTTCAGTTAGGGACATTAGCTGTTGCTGGTAAATCATTAAAATAAATTCCTGCAAAGGGAGAGTTTTTGGAGAGGTAAGAAAGGTAACAAGAGGGTAAGAAGGAAAGAAGGAAGGCATGTGAAAATTCCATTCAAGACAAAGACCAAATCTGGAAAAATCTGGAGACCTAAGGCCCAATTCATGAGAGCGATACTTTGTCTAATGCCTGTGACATCCTTGTGAGGAAGTCAGACCTCATTTTGACCTCATTTTCTTCTTACTCTGAGAGATTTTACCACTATTGAATACTTACTAGCCATCATAGTGAGGATTTTTAATAAATAGGCTGGCTTCTGTACATAGGCTTAACCAAAAACCATGGTTAGGTCAAACAGTTTTCCCTGGGAAGGCCTTCAGGGTTGTTTCCATTCTGTTCTATGGCCATCATTCAACAGTCTTTTCAAGAAAATTGAGTTTTGGTGTGATATAGATCTGGTCTAAGTATGACTTCACATCATTTTGGTCCATTTTATTCTAAAGCATTGAACCACATCTGTGAAACACCTCAGAATTTTGAGTAAATCAGTGGGCAATCCTGACTTCAACAGACTGGTGATGGTGGATATCTTCCACCACTTGGCAGAGAGCTGATGGAATAAGGGTACAGAACCAGACATGCATTTTCAGAAATCACCAATATCTTGATTTGGTTTGGCTCCATGCTACATATTTTTAAAAAAGGAAAGTTTCTCTTGAGGGAAGGAGGAGGAGAAGAAGGCAAGTTGATGGTCAGCAATAGATATGAAAAGAAAAAAAGGCACCAATAAAACATCTTAAAAGCTGTACAGAGAGAAGAGAGGGGAGGTACATAAAAAAAATCAACAAAGCAATTTGTTACTACTTTGGTTAGGTTCATATGTGCTTTTAAAAAATAATATACTGAATGTGATAAAAGTTCATAGTTTGTGGTGTAGTCTTTTCCCCTGTTTTCCATGTCTTGTTTGATTATTGAATTCACAACAATAATGATTTTTTTTTTTTAACAAGCAACTCTGATGTGGCTTACCGGAATTCCGGGGGTCCCTGGAGAACCTGGAGGCCCTTGGTAGCCAGGAGTTCCTGGAGAGCCTTTATTTCCTGGGGGTCCCATGGGGCCTATGATTCCCTTCACTCCTGGAAGGCCCGGTTTTCCTCTTTCACCCTGTGGACCTCTGTCTCCTGGTATTCCTTGATCACCCTATCAGAGAAAATGATTAATTGCTTAGGGCACTACACTCATTTTAATAGGTAGCAAGGCTGGAAAGAATCAAAGTACACTTATTTGCCATGGTCTATAATGCTTACTGTTTCATGCTGTTGCTCCATGTAACTCTTAGGCCTAAGTTGTCATTGAAGCAATAAGATAAATTGATGTAGAGGATTTTGTCACTTGAATTTTCTACCAGTCCATGAAAAGGCTAATCTATCAAGTTTTAGGGCACTCAGTTTCTCTTGAATTCATGCATTTGACCTGTTTTTTTTTTCCTGCTTTGTCTTATTTTGCTTTCCGTTTGAAACTCTTGCTTTTTAGACTTGCGGTTTATTGTGCTTGTATTTCAAATATATTGTACATTTTTATGTGTGTGTGTGTGTGCGGATAGATGTACCCTGAACACATATATCTGCTTTAAGTTGTATACAAGCCCAGTCGCTTGGGAAAGGGAAGCATTAAAAAATCCAACATAAATGATGGAAGCCATTTTTATCTGTCCTTAGATAGCTAAGAGTGAAGTGTCTTCTCAAAAGGCATAAATGAAGGACCCATGAGAGATTTTCTCAAGATGGCCATTCATTAGATGATATGAGTCAGTAGAAGTTAGAAAGTTATTACTTGGCTATATCTGAATTTGTTGTAAATTTCCTCTAATGCTTGTTTTACACCAAGCTTGCCTTGCCATTCATAAATATTAGACAGTTTTATTCTTTTGGTTATGAGCAGTATGGAAAATGTAAAAACCTCCATTTCCCTTGCATTTCTTTAAATTAAAAAAAAAAAAGACAAACAAATACTAGGATGTTCCAAGGGCTAAAATGCCTGTTACAGAGAAGCATACTAGTAAGTTAGGAAGCTGTCTGCTCAGTTATAATATGGTGGGTATGATGATAGGTATCATTAATATCTCACCTGGGGGACTATTAATGAAGCTGCTTGCTCAGTCATACTTAGCATTATAGTACAACAGCAGAGTTAATAACTGACATACTGAGGCCTATTATACTAGAAGCTATCTTTCTACTACTGTACTAGAAGGCCTAGTGGTCCCCAATGTATCACAAAATCAGGAAGTATCTTTCTGTTATTAATAGGGCACAATCTCCTTAATTCAAAATGGTGGTCTCCAATGAATTATGTTGGCTAGGTTGAGAATGTGTCTTTCTACTTGTCAATAGGGCAGGACCTTATTGACTCACAACTGATTCCTTCCTTGAAAAAGGGATACCATCTCCATTGACCTGATATTGTAGCTGATAGACCATGGAATATAGAGGATAAGCCCTTGTTTCATCCTCAGGGGTAGAGCTGAGAAATAAGACCTGGATCCTATTATGTGATCTGAGTTGACCGGAAACAGTTGACTTTACGAAGCAGATCATTTCAGCTTTTTTCTTTAGTTTGTTCTCTTCGCTTATGGATGACCATGAGAGCAAAGGTCCCTTCATTTTTCTCCTGCACTTCTTTTTTCACCTCATATTGAACAAATGAGCAGAGAGTTTTTTGGTTTTATCTCCATCTTGTTTCTCTTTCTTTTGGGAGGCTGAAGTGGTATGAGGTTGTGACTCTTTAATTTCTCTGTGGGCAGTCAAGTATAGAAGGATGCTCTTCTGGAAGGCACAGGAGGAACCAAAAATCTTTTTCTTTATTTTTTTTTTCAGCTAGAAATTGGGAAGTCTACATAGCCATGTGTCAAGGTAGGTCCAATCTGGCCCAGAAGAGGTTTTCTATTGCCATCATCCTTTCAGAAATAATTACTTCTCTTATAATATAATGTCTTTGTCCTTTTTTTTTTTTTTTTGCTTTTTGATCCAGATGTGTCATTTGAAGTCGTGTGGGAGAACTCCTGGTACAGAAACTCCATTTACAGATGCAGACTAGCTATTCATCTGTACTTTATAGTTTTAGAGAGGTCTGAGGAAATGAAATACTGACTCGTCCACAGTCATATATCAGTATAGTTACAGGTGGGACTTACACCAAGTCTTCCTCATACCAAGGCTCTATTTCTTATGCCAGGTGATTTTTTAACATTTTAAAGTATTTTTTTTAACATGGAAATTCCATTTTCTTTTCTAGTAATCACTTAAACATATAGCTAGATACAGACATAGGTATAAATAAATATAAATATGTATAATGTACTGAGATAAAAGTGCTGATCTTGAAGCAATGAGTGCCATTTTCAAAAAAGCAAGTTTAGGATCGATATGAAAACATTCCTAATAATTAGCACTATCTGAAGTGAACTCAGTACTGTAGTAGGTTCCCTAGTGGAAGTTTTCCAAAAAAGTGGTATGATTTCCTTTTAGATAAATTATGAAGAATTCTTATTCTATAACGTAGAATGAGGTCTCTTTTAATTCAGATTCTGTGATTCTGTGATACCTTTCTAAGTTTGTCTCACCCCTGTTTGGACCAGACCTATGATTTCATTGGTATCAGAAAACTCCTCTTATCAGCATTTGCTCTGAAACTTAACTGTTTTAGAGAGCTGCCTGAGAACCCATAGCAAGTATGTGTCAGAGTGAAGGATGGGAACCTAGGTCTTTCTTCTCCAATGCCAGCTTTTTATCCACTGTGCAATGCTACTTCCTTAGAATTCTCAAATTACTTCCTTAAGGAAAAAAAAACTTGCAAAAATTCAAAACCTAGATGTCATACAAGTATCTTTTAATTGGTCAATTTTTCTTAATCTCCTTATATCAGAGGTAAATGGACATTTACACTGGTCAGAGTACTGTATGTTAATACCTCATTTGGTTTTGAGTGGCCTTCAATGTCTTTCCTAATGGGAAAAATTATTTTGTCCACTAGAAGGCAGATGTGTTTCCCTAAATGGGAATTAGCATTTGCATTGTGTGCATTTCTTCATTTTTCTTCCTACGAAGTTCTCCTGACTGACATTCTAGGTATATTTACAAATGTAGTCTAGCTGTAGTCACCTTAAGAGAGCAGTGTTATTAAAGCCAAATCTTTTTGGGGCTAGAGCTCTTGGGATTATCTGGGCATTGACCATTAGAGTACCTGGAAGCTGAATTCCACAAAATAAAAGCCCAATTTTGCTTGTGTGTGAGAGAGTGAGAAAAATACTTAATGAGAACTATCAACCACCTGGACCATGAGGAAAATTCTTAGCTCAATGATAAATACACCAACCTGACACAGACTGATAACTATCTAGTACTGCTGACATCTTCTTTTTAGAATTAATTCTGTGCCTTATTGGATTATTAAAAATTCTGATTTAATTGTATAGGAGTTGCTTTTAAAAATTAAATATATGTGTTTGTACCAAGCTAGGCATTTCCACTTATGAACAGTTTATGTTGTTTTGCTTGATAGCAATTGATATCGCTATCTTTTTGTTCTGGGGCAGCTAGGTTATGCAGAGTGCTGGGCCTGGAGTCAGAAACACTCCTCTTCCTGAGTTCAAATCTGGCCTCAGACATTCACTAGCTGTGTGACCCTGGACAAGTGCCTTAACCCTGTTTGCCTTAGTTTCCTCATCTGTAAAATGAACTAGAGAAGGAAATGACAAACCACTATGGTATTTTTGCCAATAAAACTCCAAAAGGGGTCATGAAGAGTCAGACATGACTGAAAAATGCCTAAACAACAATTTCTTTATTCTGGAAACCATGCCTCTCTTAATCCAGCCCAAGAGGACAATAGCTTTAGTGGGCTCTGAAAGGAAGAGAAAGGAAAAAGTAAATTTTTTTTTTTTGTACATGGTCTAAGCATGCGATAGTTTTGCATGAACTTACATAGACCTTACATTTGGCCATTGGCAATCTGGTTATTTTCAAATGGACAGATGTTGGTATGTATATTTTAGAGAGACTTCAGGTTTTACAATGAACTGAACCAAAAAGTGAATAGGAGGAACAGAGTGTGTTAGATTGCCCTTTGAAAGGGGCACAGTGATTTTGAAGACTCCAAGTTTCTCCATGAAATAAAGGCCCACATTTTTAACATCAATAGTCTTCCTATGATGCAACATGGCTACAAATCATGGAGTGCTTCTATTTTCGAAGAATTAAAATTGCAGGTCATCCCAGGAGCAATATAGAAATGCATGATGGATGTGAATAAGCTACAGCATATGACAAAAGGATTGTATACCAAAAACAGTGTAGAAACATTAGGAGATGTATTACCTGAAGAAGATGAGGGGCTAATTATATTTTAAGAGCGGGGGATAAAAGACAGATAGCCCATGCACTCAATGTGTACTCAGGCAATGTCAAGACATCTAGAGGAAGACCACTAGCATGTTAAATGACCTTCCTGTAGAGGATTTGCAGGAGGACATGAACAAGATTTGGGTGGGATGATATATGTATTAGTGGTTATCTGCACCATTGGAGGGGGCGCCAACAGTGACAAAATTACAGATCTTTTGAAATATGGAAGCATTCCTCTTGCTAGTTTCACTCAAAATGCTTTTGGGATGACGTGGTTGTGTTTGTCTCATTCCAAGCCTTCCATAAACTTGTTTTCACTCCTACTGCTTATTGTCTGTTTTATAAGGCTACACTGATCTTAAATTTATGCCATGTTTTTCTGTATTTTTTACAAAGAATTTGTACTCTACTCTGGCATTGCCTTTGGCTACAGTGTTTTACCACTTGTCAGAAAGAACAACTGTCTGGTGTTTTCTGGGTTCTTTCTGCCTTCTCATTATGGTGGCTTCTTTAGGTTAGCAAAGGGTCTCCTTATCTTTATCCTTTCTTCTAATCCAGTTTCTCATGGGTAGGTACTGTTTTTGCTTATCATAGTTTCTGGCACATAAAAAGTACCTGTTGACTGATTGGTTGACTAATCTAATGTTGATTTTAACCTTTATCGTAACTGGTGGATAGTCTGCACACAGCTAGCTGGCTCTTATATGATTCCAATATTAATAATCAGTGTTTTTCCTATATGCCAGTGGATGGCATTTTCATTTTTTTGTTGTTACTCATTTTTTGCCATATCCAGGACCTTCTGATTCTCTTCTAAAATATCTTGGTTTTTTATACATAGGTGTGAAATTTCAGGGTACTTTACAAATGAAGCACATAGCTGTTGTAAAGGAGTCATTTAGGCCATCTGATAGGGGGCTACACAAGTCTTTGGTTTCTCATTTCTCAAACCTGAGATGGATTTTCCGATATATATATTTCGCCTTTCCCAGTGCCCATCCACTTTTGCTTTGGAGTTTCTGAGTGTCAACATTTATTTTGACTTGATTTGGAGGATCTTGTCAAAGTGCTTATACTTATCGTGAGCCTTATAAGAGGAGATGATCAAGTGTCCCTGAAATGATGTTTCTTGTTGCCTTTGTACATACCAGTTTAGATTAGCCAAAGCATTTATTAAGTTTTACTGTGGCAACTAGATGGCACAATGGACAGAGTGCTGGGTCTGGAGTCAGGAAGATCTGAATTCAAATCTAGCCTCAGACACTTATAAGCTGTGTGATCTTGGGCAAATCACTCAACCTCTCTTAAGCCTCAGTCTCCCCAACTGTAAAAATGGGGATAATAACAGCACCTACCTCCCAGGGTTGTCTTTAGAATCAAAAGAGATAATATTTGTAAAACACTTAGCACAGTGCCTGGCACATAGCAGGTACTATATAAATATTTAAACTTCTAGTATTGAAGATTATTATGTCAGTTTGTCATTGGACAAAGGTCTCAGTTTTAGAGAACCTACTAAGGTTTATGGATGATTTCATTTTTCTCTTCACTGTTACTTTAGGAAGTAGGAGAGTGTCACATGGATTTGAGAATTTTGTTTTTCTTTGTTTCTTTGCCTACCATGGCCAAATAATTCTTTATGTAGTGGCCAACATAATGGTTATGAACCATACTTATGGGCTGGTCCTCAGACAGCATACTCAGTCCGTCACTTGAGTCTGCACTGGTCTCAGCATGAGCTCACACTTCATTGGCATAGTCCCGTCTTCATGACCTTGAGGCATTGGAATAGGACTTTGTGGAGGTAGAGTTCTCTTAAAACAAACCCTTTTCCTTGACCCTGACACTTTTTCAAACTTATCATCTTATCTCTTGTTTTTCATTGTCTAATTTCTAGAAAGAAGAGTCTGTACTTGTTTTTTCCACTTCCTCACTAGTCACTCATTCCTCAACCCTTTGTAATACGGCTTCCCTCCCCACCATCTACTGGAATGATTCTCCCCAAGGTCACCCAGGGCCACCACATTGCCAAACTTAATGTACTTTTCTCCTTTGCCCCAATTTTTAATAACACCACAACATTTAATAGTTGATTATCACCATTTTCCTTCTTGATACTCTCTCAATCCCCTTGATACCTCTCTTGTATTATCTTCTATGATTCTACATTCTTCCTACCTCTCTGACCACTTATTTTTTAGTCTCCTTTGCTGGTTACTTAGCCTTCTCCCATCCCTTCAAGTCCTATCTTTGTCTGATGGTTTGTCACTCTCTACATTGCTCACCTTGGTCAACTCATATACTCCTAGGGCTTTAATAATCATATCTATGGTGATGAACTCCAAGTGTCTAAGACTTTAGGCTACAGATGAGTTGAAATCTGTATTATTGGAAGGAGTTTCACAAACTGAATTTTTTCACTAATGAAATCACAGATGTAGACCCAAATTAAAAAACCCCAAAACTTAAGAGTAATTTTGGATTTTTCTCTCTCCCTTAACCCTTAACGTGATCAGTTGGCCAGTCTTCTCATTTCTGATTTCACAAGCTTCCTGATATCCAACCCCTCCTTTCTCTTTCTATGGCAAATGCTCTTCTCTTTTCTCACTTAGAAAATATATCCATTTAATTGGTCTTCCTGACTCCAGTTTATCCCTTTTACAATAAATGCATTCTTGACACTACTGCCCAAATGGTCTTGCAAATGCTCTGCATCATTCCTCTAATAAAAAAAAAACAAAACTGTGGTGGCTTCCCTGTGCCTGCCAATGCAATATAAACTCTGATCTAAGCACTCAAAGGGCCTCCAGATTTGGTTCCAACCAATTTTTCTAGCCTTATTTTATACAATCCTCCTTCATGCATTCTGTAGTCTAGCCAAACTGTAATATTCACCATCCCCTATTCCTATCTTTCCTTCTCATCCTGTCTTCTTCTGTTTCTCTACTTTTGCTTATATCATTATCCCTGCCACAAAAGGGTTCTCCTAATCTTTATTGAAATCCCTCATTCTCTTCATAGTCATGGTCAAACTCAGGTACTACATCCTTCATGAAGTCATCCATTCTTTCTCTCCTTTCTCATCCTGAGATGAGCTTTCATTCCTTAAATTACCCACAGCACTTTGCCTACGTCTTGCCATTGCCCTTACCACATCTACTTGTTATCAGTTATTTATGGATATGCCTTTCTCCCAAGTACTTTCCATTAGATTATAAACTGCCCTTGAAAGCAGGGATATGTCATATCTATCTTTGTATACCCACCACCTTGAATAGAGTAAGCACTTATTAAAGGCTTGCTGAATTTAAATGACCATGACATGAAGCTAGGAAGCTATGGGAGGATGGTAGTTGTAGAGACTAAACAGTTACATATGCACTCTCATTACATAAACACTGTGGCTGAAATGTCTATTGCTGGCAGGCATGAAACACTGGCAATGTACCTTACTGTGGTAGGGTCTCCTGCATGCCTACCAATACACCACTAGCCTTGGGGTCCTGTTCTCTCCCTATATCTTCATTCACCTTAAATTATGGGGTTTTTAGAACAAGTAACTATACTTATACTCATTCTGTAATAACAGAACAATGATAATGCCAGTTATAGTAGATCAACTCAAATGATAATAATGGTTATATACATACACGTTCTCCTTTGGGTCCTCTGTCTCCAGGTTTGCCCATTGGGCCCTGAAAAAAATATCAAAATTGAGACACATATTTGCCAACATCTGACTGGTCTAAATAGTATTAAGGCTTCCGCAGGTGACTATAAATCTGATTTTAAATGTAGTTGTCATACCTGAGGGCCTGGTGATCCATCTTTTCCATTTATTCCCTGTAAAAAGAGAGAAATCATTGTTACTTGCATCTGGGTGTACATGGAAAGGAAAAGAAAGCATAGAGAGGGAAATGTTTCAATAGGGTGAGTCTCACTTAAGGGAACTGTTCTGTGACCTTGTCCACTAGATCCTAGATCATACTGATGAGGCAGTATGGTATAATGGAGAGGGCCATGGCCTTGGAGACAAGAGACCAGGGTTCAAATTGACTTGTTAGGTGCAACTTTGAACAAGTCCTTTACCTCTTTGAGCTCAGTTTCCTCATCTGTGAAATGGGGACAATAATAATGTGTTACATACCTCACAGGTTGTTTGTGAGAATGAAATGTCATAATCCATGTCAAGTGCTTTGTAAACTATGTATATACATATATAATATATAGTCACACAATATATATGTGTATACATATAATAAAAAATATTAGCTATTCTTAATCTTATTACTTGCTAGTTACAGATCCCAGTGCATGATTCCTTGCAAAATCTGGATGCTCCCAGGTAGTTGCTATGGTGGATTTTCATGGTAATGTGAGTCAAAGCAACACTATCCTCTAATATATTCCTGTGCAGAGCAACTCTCATTAAATGTCTTCAACTGAAACTCGAAACAAGTTTCACTGTATGATTGGAATAAATTCCTAGCATGAAATAACCTGCCAATCAAAAGATGGCTTCACGTCTCTCAGTAGGCACATGGTGAAAGAAGTAGGAGAGAACCCTTAATCACTGTCACTGAGAGTACTAAATAAGTGCTTTTTTATTAGAAATTGTGAAGTCTCCTGAACTTTTCAGGGCTATTCCTGAGGTGATAATAAAGCAGAGTCCCACTAGTAGATTTATGAGATTGGGAGGACTATTGTCTGGGAGATGTGAGAAGCAAAAGCACTTGGGGTCAAGTCAAATACCTAGAGTCCTAACTGCAGATGTGTTTTTGAGATTTGATTTGAAGAGGGAGAGATCAAGGTAAGGAAAATGATTTCTTAGCCAGCAGGCAATTGCATGGACATGCTCCTCTGAAAAGCCTAAGAGACCTGAATTGTGCCAGGATGGATTCTATGAGGATGGAAGTGCAGACAACTGTGTGTTTTCACTGCTGTAAATTACACTAAAATCTGTCATGGTTGATAAGCCAACCAAAATCTCCCAACCTCTCAGAAACATCCTGGGAATGATGGTGAGTACTTTAAATAAGAACATGTTACTTGAAGTATAAGGTTCACAGAATTTATTACATCAGAAACACAGGCAAAGAAGATAAAGCTGATTAAGGAGAGGATGTGAAAGGAGCCAACTCTGTCACTTGGAGGAAAGAAGATAAATCTAGAGTAAAAATTTAATTCACTGTCTTCAAAGATCATGTTAGCCCTCCTTGTCTTTTGTAGCTTAGTGAAGAAAATCTGTAGACTATCTTCCTTCTTTCCTGCAAACATTTATTAAGTGCCTACTCTTTGCAAAACATCATGTTAAGCAGGAAGTCCTGAGACTCTTGCTCTTAACCCGCCGCCTGTAGGGTTGTTTTTCTACCGATGGGTGTGGATTTGTACAGACTGGTTCACATTATCTTGTCCAATTTCCTCTGAGAACTATTGGCACTCATTCTCTAGATGGCTGACAGGAGTAAAGGATAGACTCTGTGGTTCTGAAACAGAGCAAAAGTAAGTGGCCCACAGGGGGACTGAATTTATAGCCTTTAGTTATTAGTTTGTTGCTCTACAACTGAGCTAACTAGCTTGAGTCTGGCTAAAATTCTCAATTCTGACATTCTATGGTGTTATGAGTTGATGATTCCTAAAGGCTTACCCTTTCTGTGCCTCAGTTTCCTCATTTGTAAAATGAGGGGATTGGGCTCCATGGCTTCAAAGGTCACTTTCAGTTCTAGTCAGTAAATCAGTCAACAAGTATTTATTAAGTGCTTATCATGTGCCAGGCAGTGTCCTAGTGCTGCTGATGCAAAGAAAGAAAAAGCAGTTCCTGCTCTCAAGGAGATTATATTCTAATGTGATGTAATATGTAACATGTAATAACATGCAAATAATTAACTATATGTAAGCTACATAGTAGATGGAAAGTAATTTGAAAGGGGAAAGTACTAGTAGCTGAGAGGACAGGGAACTGTCCCTTGTAGAAGATGGAACTTGAACAAATTATGGTATATGAATGTGATGGAATACTATTGTACCATAAGAAACAACAAAGGTGATAGTTTTCAAGAAATCTGAGAAGACTTGTATGTGCAAGTAGGTCAGTGTGTCTGAATCATAGACAAAATGAAGGGGAGTGAAATTTACAAATATTGGAAAAATAGGAAGGGGACTGGTTATACAGTTCTAATTCTACAATCTTATGAAATGATTTTCTCCTTTACCTTTCTCTTCTTCCAACTGTCATTTCCAATGGAAGGATATTATAATATTTTTCTTAAAGAAAATACTTGCCTTAGTAGAGATGTTTGCTATAATGTCATCTTGATGCTATATGCTAGTAATAACACACTGCTTCAAGACACAATGAAGCAATACATGTCAAACTAGTGATTTGCACAGACAGTGCAATAACAACAACAATAATAATAAATAGTACTTATTTATATAGTGCTTTAAGATTTGCAAAGCACTTTACATATGTTATTTCATTTGATTCTGAAAATGGAGATTGAGAGAAGGAAATTGATTGCCCAGGGTCACATAGCTGGTATATAAGGTTGGTCTTCCTGGTTCTGAGCCTAATACTCTTTCTACCATCAAGCTTAGTTTGTCTAGCAATGATAACAAAGGGAAGTAGAAGAACAACAAAGAAACCTAATTGACATCTAAGCTTTTTGCCTAAGATCCAAGTGGGATGTCTGTGAGGCTCCTATCTTCTTATATTTTATTATGTGGCAAAACATTCCCCACCAACACTCCTAAGAGTGTTTGAGAAATTAGGGAAGAATCAAGAATTCCTTAGCACATTTTGATAAAACTGGACCCATTCCAACACCATTTCTGGCAACAAAGTCAGTAACTCATGCTGAATGGACTTACTCAGGGCTGAATCACCAAATGAAAGGTTCTCTTTGCTGAATTTGGAATAATTTTCTTGATAGTTTTCTTATTCAATCTTAATTCTCCTTAATTCTCCTAAGAATCCTATCTGGAATTCTCCTAAGAATCATACCTATTGGATATTGGTAAACAAAAGAAAAACCACACAAACAAGCACATCAAAATTTAAACTTACTGGTTTTCCTGCAGGTCCTTCAGGCCCAGGGAAGCCAACATCTCCAACAGGCCCTCTTTCACCCTTAAAGATACACACACAGAGGCACACACACATGTATGTGAACAATTGTTGACTTCAAAACAGGTATTGAAAAGAGTTCAGATGCTAAAGAGGCACTCACTGGTTCTCCTGGCATTCCTGGAGGCCCTGGGGCTCCTGACTTTCCCTGGAAAAGGAATTAAAGAGAAACATTATATTCATTATGGCACAGAGAGCCACTCCTCATTGTATTTTAAAGGAGTACATTTGCCTATGGGATTGCCATTTGACTATTTCAGGCAGCTAGGTGGTACAACTTGGTAGAGTACTGGAACTGGAGTGAGGAAGATGAGTTCAAATCCAGCCTCAGACACTTCCTAGCTATGTGACCCTGGGGAAGTTATTTAACCAATCTGAGACTCGGTTTCCTCACATGTCACATAGGGATAATAATATCACCTAACTCCCAGGGTTATTGTGAGAATAAAATGAGATGACATTTAAAAAGTGCTTTGCAGACTGTAAAGCACTATATCAATGCTAGCTATAAATGCTAGCTATGGGGCTCTGAGGTTTTAGATCCCAAAAGAGAGTTATCAAGGAGGTGAACCTGTTTAAAAGGCAATGAGACTGAATTTTATATAAATGTATTAGAACTCATCCATCTAAAAGGATATTGTCCTCCTTCAACGTAGTCATTTGTTTAGTTGTTTCAGTTGGGTCTGACTCTTCATAACCCCATTTGGGGTTTTCTTGGCAAAGATAATTTGGTGGTTCGCCATTTCCTTTTCTAGATCATTTTACAGATGAAGAAGCTGTAAAAAACAAGGTTAAGTGACTTGCCCAGGGTCACACAACTAGTAAGTGTCTGAGGTCAGATTTGAACTCAGGAAGACGAGTTTTCCTAATTCACAGCCCAGTGCTCTATGCACTATGGTGCCATCTAGCTATCCTTAAAGAAGAAACCTTAGAAGCAATTCCAATGAATCTGCCATTTGCTCCAAATTTGTTTAGAATTCCTCTCTTGGAATTGCCTTTGGAGTCTATTCAGATACTATGAATATACTTAATGCCTCTTTGGGGAGGGGAGTATATTATAACCACCCTTATTAAGAGTCAATTTAGGAGAATAATAAGCTGTATAAGTATGTTTCTGGCCAGAGGAAAAAAAAACAATGAGGTTACTTTTCTTGTGTGACTTGCTTTTATGGCATTTCCTAAAAAGGGGTTCCAAAAATGTCCTGATCAATGGCAGTTTGGTTGGATCAAGGTCACATAGCCTTGGAGGTGTCTACTCTGAAGAAGAATTTCTATTTGATGTATACATACTAATAAATGGTAAGCTCCGTTAAATAAATAAATGGGAAGGGGGTAGGACGAGGTAGGGAAGGGGGTACAGACTGTTATTCTTTGGAGGCTCTTCAGTCTCTAGCACAATGTCTCATACACAACATTCTCTCTCTCTTTCTCCATATGTATATACATATATATTTTAATTGAATTGATATGTTTATTAAGAAAATCAACCTCATCATGTTATTACTATTTGTCTACCTATTTCTAATCTTTTATTTTATTTTAGTTGTTGTACCAGAACTATGATTTCATTGGTATAAAGAATTCCCAACAAGGAACCTCCCTTCACAATGCAAAACAGGCAATATAGAGTTACCTGGAACAATGAGAGATTAAGTGACTTGTCCAAGGTCATACTACCTTGGATGTGTCCAAACCAGGGCTTGAAAGTCTTTTTGACTTTAAGGCCAGCCCTTTCTCCACTATTCCATGTTCCCTCTCTTGCTGGAGTATAAAACAATTTGAACAAGTGTTGTGAATCAGGAGGCTCCACAATGCATTCAGATTAAGGATGCATTCTGATCCTCTTGATATCTTATGGGTAGCTTGATGGAGTAATGGAGAATGGGAATGGCTCTGGTTCTACCCGGGAGTCTGCCATCTTTCTCTCTGCATTTGTACAGCTGCCTGAAGTGCTATGTTCCCAATGACTTCTCTGTGAAGTTATCATGAACTTACTCTGCAGGGGCACCTAGCAAAAGGATAAATGGTCCTTTATTCATGAAGCGTGACCACAAAATTTTAATTAGAGCAACCTGAATGAAGACTAGAATGATCTCCAGGGTTCTGCTAAATGATTCCAACCTTTTGTGCCATACTTTCTATTCATTTGAGGAGACCTTGAATAGATTAAAATATCTGACACCAATGAGCAACAAAAATGATTGAGAGGATTGAAGGACTAATTTATGAGGATACATTAACAGTAATAAAGCTCAGCTAATAAAACTGGGCTAAGTGAAACCTAAGGCAGGTTATAGCTTTTTGCAAGCCACTTGAAGTGCATGAACAATGGGGCTACCAGATATCATCTCTAGAATGCCAAGGATTATAACTAGGGACTTGGAGATAAAATAAAGAAGAGAAAAGCCCAATTTGCATTTGTAAATTGCACTTGTGTACTTATACATTGCTTATCATCAGTAGCCTTTTAGAGCTTTGGAAGTTCAATAGAATGAACATGGAAAAGAGAGAGCATATTAATATACAAAATAGAAAATGAAGGAAAGAGAAGAAAAAAGACAGAGAATGGAGAACCACATGGTGGTGATAATGTGGGATCCTATAAACCTCAGTCTGGTCAGAGATGATATAGATCCCTAATGGAGAGGAGGAAAAAGTGTGTGCATGAACATTGTAGTAATAAACACAGAAGCATCCTTTTCAGTGAAATGACCATGATGGTGAACTACTTTTGAATAGAAACCAGTTTTCCTTGGAAAATAGGGGAATCTTTACTAAATTAAGAACTTGAAAATATATTGAAGGGGATAATTTTACAATGGAAGAGGGAAAATGGTGTCATTATGTCTGGCAACCAAATTGGTACGATAATTGTTCTTTCATTCTTAACCCTCATTAATTATCTTACCATAAATTTGTAAGTTTACCAACAAGATATAATTTACAATAATTTCACCTCTTGTGAAATATAATAAACTCACCGGTATTCCTGCTATTCCTGGTGAACCAGCTGGGCCTCGATCTCCCTGACCAGAGGAAATAAAAAAGACAAATCCTTTCAGAAACTTCTTTGTAGAACCATAAAAAATCAAATCATTGATGAAGGTGGGGGAGAAATGCTATACTTAGGTATGAAGTTACTGGTTAAAATAATCTTCTACATCTGGTTAAATCTTAATAGATGGTAGCTGGGGGTGCAGCATACATGAAAAAATAATTAACATGTATAACCAGAGATGGGACCCGACAGTGGATTTTGTCTTAGAGCTAGGAGGATTATGGTGTTTAAGTACTTCTTCTGGCACATATAAGCTTTATAATCCTAGACAAGTCATTTAATCTTTTAGTGCCCCCAGATAACTCTTGAAGATTATAAGCTGTGGATGAGTTACCTATGGGCACCAGTGGACAGTGTTTTCTTATGAAGAGTACCTACACTGATGAAATCACAAGTTTAGACCCAGTTCTGAACAATAATAACACAAATAAAACCAACCAGGTCTTTCCTTTTTTCTTAGTAAAGAAACAAAAATAAAAACATTGGCTTTAATGTAACTAAGAATTCAAATTATTATTTTTCCAATGTGAATATTTAAAACAAAAAGCTAAACATATTGTGGCTAAGTTTAGGCTATTAGAAATGTAGTGACTAAAAGTGATGTAGGCAATGCTAAATAGTGTTAAAACAATGGCTAAGTTATTTTTTATGTGCTTAAAAAAAGCCATTAGTCAGAAGATTGAAAATCTTGAACATCTACCTGCACAGAATCTTATCTTTCTGCGTGGAGGGTGGAAATGAAAATATCAACAACTAAAAGTGTTCTAGCTATATGCATTTCTCCAGCTGGAAGAAAACTTAGCTTGTATTGTTCTTAACAGTACACTGGTTCAATTGCTCTCATGAGAGTCATTTGAAAATGAGGTAATCTGGTATCCTAGGTAACTTTTACTGTCATCAGCAGTTGACTATACTAAAAAAAGAAATGCTGGTGACCATAAGTAGGATGATAGGATTTTTTAGTGCTCAAAGGAATCTTAGAGTGCACTGAATCCAGCCCCCTAATTTTACATATGAGGAAACTGAGGCCCAAAGTGGTTAAATAACTTGCCCAAAGTGACGTAGTTATTTAGTAATTGAGCTGGAGCTAAGGCATACATCTCTGGACTCCTACTCCAATGATCTTTCCATTACACCTTTGTGTCTGCTCAAAGTGTGTCAAGTTCATAAGTGGAGGAAGAAACATGGAACGAGTAGAAAATGGGGAACTGGCTGCTTTCATGAACTCATGTTTATTTACCACTTTCTGGATTCATAGAAATATAATATTGACTGAGTAATGGAGGCATCATCTAATATGCTACATATACTAGTAATTAAATGTAGGCAGCTAGGTGGTACAGTTGACAAAGAGGTAGATCTGGAATCAGAAGACCTGAGTTCAAATTCTGCTACAAACCAGCTGTGTGATTCTAGATGAGTTACTTGATTTCTCTCATCCTCAATTTCCTCATTTTTAAAATGAGAATAATAATAATAATGACTTCTCTGAGTTGTTCTGAGGATAAAATGTGTTCATATTTATAAAGTACTTTGCTGACCTTAAGGTGCTATATAAATGCTGTTTTTATGGTTATTATGTAGACCTCTCTAAAGAAAGCATAGTCTTTCTCAAGGAGGAACAAAATTTGGATATATCTTTTAAATATTATACTCTGAGCAACTAGTTTTAAGTTATCAACAGTGGAAACTGTTGCTTCTAAGTTAATGGGTGATAATGGAAAAATAATTAATTGAAATACTTTTGCAATTTAGTGAGAGTTTCTCCTACCCTTCTATGGTACACATAGATATCAGTGTTTATGGACTTATGTCATATAAATGTTCTTTCTGGAGAAGAAATCTGATTTTCTACGGGAAGGCCTACATCACTCTTAGTCATTCCTATATGGTAAATAAACACGAGTTCATGCAAGTAGTCACATTTCCCCCACCCCCTTATTTCAGCATTCACATGTATGGATATATACATCTGCATGCATGCATGTATGTATGTATGTGCATATATATATGGATATATAGTCACATACATGTATACACACGTACCTTTGGAACCCTTGTTTAAATGGTTTCTCCTATAGACACTTAAAATATTGCTACTGATTCTGTTCCCTCTCCCTTAGACACAGTAATAATATCAGATTCTGTAACTGATGTTGTTTAAACTGGAGTTCCATATGTATATATAAATATGGCATGTGTATGCATACATATATAACATATTTGTGTGTATATTACATATATGTGTTAGAAGCCCATAGAGTTTCTATATCTACCTAACAAGGATAACTTCCCATTAATAAGAGTTTTTAATTAGTTATTTTCTATTTTTGTTGTTGTTCAGTCATTTCAGTCATGTCTCACTCTTTGTGACCCCATTTGGGATTTTCTTGGCAAAGATACTGGAGTAGTTTCCTATTTCCTTCTCTAGTTCAATTTACAAATGAGAAAACTGCAGCAAACACGGTTAAGTGAGTGGCCAGGGTCATGCATCTAATAAGTGTCTGAGGCTGGATTTGAAATCAAAAAGAGGAATCTTCCCAGTTCCAGGCCCAGCACCCTATCTACTGTGCCACCTACCTGCCCTATTTTTCTATTTTTGTGCATTAATTTGGAAGTAGAAGTTTCCACTTTTCATACATAATAATGTATGACTGGGAACTTAGAATACACTATTTCAAGTGTACTTCCAGTTATTTGTTTCTCTGAGAGAAGAATTTTGTTTTCTACAGGAAGACCTACATCATACATGTACACATACATGCATGGCATCATCATCATGGCTAGCAGTGATATAGCACTTTAAGCTTAGAAACGGCTTTATAAATATTAAATTTTATCTTCACAACAAGCCTGGGAGTTAGGTGCTATTATTATCCTTGTTTTATAGTTGAGGAAACTGGGGCAAACAGAGGTTAAGTGACTTTCCCTGGGTCACACAGCTAGTAGGTGTCTGGGAATGGATTTGAACTCAGTTCTTCTTGTCTCCAGATCCTATTCTCTATCAACTGTGACACCTAACTCTCTCTCTATATGAATATGTATATAGACATGCACATGCATATATGTATGTGTGTGTGTGTATACATATATATATATATATATATATATATACATATATGTACATATATGTATATCATGGGATAAGGATAGGGTCTGGACCTGTAATTTCATTAGTACAAGGAACTCCCAGATAAGCAAACTCCCTCTACCAATATAGGTCAGCACCTTCTCTGCAACATTTAGTCTTAGAGAATTGCCTACTGCACTGAGAGGTTATGTGACTTCCCCAGAGTCACATAGCTTGGTATATGCCAGAGGCATGATTTGAACTCAGGTCTTCCTGGCTGCAATAAGCAGTATGCTATGGGTTCTTGACCTTTTCTATGTCATGAATCACTTTTTCAATATGGAAAAGTTTTAGGGATCCCTTCTCAGACGAATGTTTTTAGGTACATAGAATAAAACAGGTAAGGTTACAAAGGAAAAAAAAAAGAAATAATTATAAAATATTTTTAAAATGTATGCAGGCCCTAGGTTAAGAATCCCTGAATTATGTCATGCTGCTTTTGTATTCTTTCTCTGTCATATACATATGTAAATATACACACATGTGTATATTCACTCCATAAATATAGGTTTATTTCTATGTATTTATCTCTCTCTCTCTCTGTGTGTGTGTGTATATATATATATATATATATATATATATATATATATATATATACATATACATATATATATTCATATTTGGGGTCATATTTCCTGACAGGTTTATCTAACTCCACATAAAATCTACAACTGCAGATAAAGACAACCATCTGTCAGTGTCCTTGCTGTCTTTTTAAATTAAGGAGTTTCCCTTGGAAATAAATAACAGCAGAACATTTCTGTTAATGAAAACATTGTGACAGGCTGACAAATAGCAGTACAATACTTCTAATTCAGGTGCTTTATGACAGTCTTACCTTTACACCTGGAAATCCTTCTAGTCCTGGGAGCCCCATGGGTCCAGGTTCTCCCTAGAAAAAAAAAACCAGAAGTAGAAAACAAAGAGTAACCGGGATTAAAGTGTTTTAAAATATTTCATTCAACAGCATCTTGACTAAAATCCAACTTTAACACATCATTGTGATATGGATGTGACCCTGAGATCTTGAAGGGTAGAGCAGTTCTGATGGGTTTGATTAAGATAGAAAGACTGAGCTTCGAGTAGAGGTCTGGGAAAGGAATACATGTCTGAAGAGTATTCTAGTTAAGTCTGGAGAGACTCATCACCATGTTGGCCACAAGGTAATGTATTGTTTTGGCCAGATCAACTCTTAAAGACCATTTATTCAATTAAAGAGGGATAGTGAGCTATATTGATGGAGGAAGTACCCAACCTTGATGAAATTATAGGTACTTGAAGTATTGAAACAACAATAACAGGGTACATCTTTGCAAAGAAAACCCAAGTACTGATTAGAGCTATAGCTAACAAAGGTGTTACCAATGATGGAGGAAAGCAGCATGGCATAATAAAAAGAGCACTTTAAGTTAGGAGGTCTGGGTTCTAATCCCAGATCCTACAATTATTAGCTGTGTGACCATGAGCAAATCATTTCATCTCTCTGAGTTTCATTTTTTTTATTTGTAAAACAATAACAATACTTAACACTTATCTAACATACAGGGTTGCTTTGTAAAGCTTAAATTTATATAGAAATATATTTTCTCACCTTTTATCTGTCTATGCATTATTGCTGTTTGTTTTTCTAAAAATTGTTGAAGAAAAAGTCATTCCCAAGAGCAGTGTATGTTTATTTCCTGATTGTTTCAATTCTGATTAAGAACTTAATCAGAATGAATCCCTCTAGCGGTCAAGGTCAACTCCAGACCAATTTCAAGCAGAATTAGAATGAATGGACAGGTTCTAACAAAGTCTGCCAATTATAGAAGCACCTGGGGCTGTTTGATTACTAGAAAATTTGTCCACACATTTCAAGAGTGGATGAAGACAGAACTCACCCAATGAAGTTTATAGTCCTTATTTATTTTATGAAGGGGCCTGTGTATTGTGAAAGTTTTATTAAGAGAAACGCCTGAAAATTGACATTTCTGGTACTTTAAGAAGGGAATTTTTCACACTGTTGGTCATTAAGACACAGGAAAGACATAAGAACTTTTCATTTTACTTGATTGTTTTACATGTTCTAGTCTGTGGTCTACTTGGATTGGTAAATAGAGTGGATTAAGTTGATAGCATATAAAAGAAATTTCAAGAAGGGACTTTACAAGTAGGAAAAGATGAATATTAGTTTGTTTTTGTTTTTTTTAAAGTAATCCAGTTAATGATTGTCATATTAAACTCCCCTTTTAGGACACTGGGGCATTTAAATACAATTACATAGGAAAGAACTTCCATAATTGCATATAATGCAAATGTATTTATGCACAAACATGGGCAGACATAACACCAATTTACTTTGAAAACATTGCCATGTCTCAAATTTCTGTTATGATTTCTTATCCTATCCTCATTAATGAACATTTAATAAGTAGTCTGATAGTCTTTCACGCACTGGGGCTTTAGAAATTTTTAAATGTCCATTAATAGGCAACCAGTCAGCCAAACGAGAATAATATCTATAGTCAGGATGTAGGAGATAGTAGTCTCCAAGCAGGATGCACTCTCATAATTTCTAACCCACAAGGTCAGAAAATATTACCTCTGAAAATAAAACAAATAAGAATCAAATGGATGATATGAAGGAGTTGCTTAAATAACCTATTTGAAGAGATGGCTTGTGAATGTATTGCTGATGATACTAGCACACTGAGATGATACTTTAGGATCAGACATTCCTGGAAGGGAACTTAAAGGTCATATAGTCCAACTTCCTAATTTTATAGATGAGGAAAATGAGGCCCCAAGCGATTAAGTGATTTATCCAAAGTTTTCTGATTTCAAACCCAGCATTCTTTCCATTGTATCACACTACCTCTCGTCTTCTGTGGGTAACATCAAAAAATGTTTAATCTCTGAGTCCAGAGACTATTTATTTTGTATCCCCAGAATATACCTCAGTGAATGGCACCAAGTAGTCGCTTAATAAATACTTGTTGAATACATGAATGAATCTCTTTAGAATAGACATGGGGGACCCTCAGTGTCACTTTCTAAGATAAGAACCTAGTTAGTTTTAATTGGGGTGAATTCTCTTAAGTAATCTTGATTTCCATTGTTCTTTCCCACCACCCAACTATTTAGGGATCTACCCCGGGCTTCGTGGACTTCCAAGCCATACAAGGGTAGGACTCAATCACTTTGTACCAATCTGGCATGAGATGATGTGGAAGAAGACACAAACTCCAACTCTAGGCCAGTGGAAAGACAATTCCAGATGATGAAGGTAGGGAATTCCATGTAGTCACATACAAAGTCCAAGAATGTCAAACTACACAAAGATTTTGATCTGATTGCCTTCTTCCACCTTGCCAATACACATCATTGTCATATCTGCAATGCCTCCATTAATTATCCTGTTATGTCATTTTATCCTTCTCCCTCTGGAGAGAGGGTATAAAGGAAATGTATTCTGTCCATGTTTCTGAAAGAGTGGAGGCTCCTCGATAGAGGCTCCACCAATCTGTTTGTGTCTATGGGTAATAAAAATTTAGTATTTAGTTAGTCCAATTTTTAGGAATGCTTTTGATCCAACTTTTGCTGAAAATTGGACCCAGACTAAGCTAATCAGACATTTGTTTTAGAGCAGGGGCTATTAACCTTTCTGTTTTCATGGAACCCTTTGGCACTGTGGTAAGGCCTATAAATCCCTTCTCAGAAGGTTTTTTTTTTTAACTGAAGTTAATACTAAATTTCATTTTGAGGTTAGTGGAAATAAAAATGTTAAATTTTTTCCATCCAAGATCAAGAATCCCCTGAAATCTTTTCACAGCAAAGGTTGGGGGCAGGGGAAGATATGTAGCCCTAGGCTAAGAAATTCTATTTTCAAAGGTGGCTCTGAAGTTCCCCCATCTTTACTCTCAAATGATGACATCTAGGAAAGAAGACAGTGCCTTCTCAATTTCACTAGCATCAGCAGCTTCCCTGAATGGTTCATAGGCTCAAGCTAAATGCCTACAATGGAGGAGGCAACTGATAAAAAACATGCTTCATCTGTGCTAATTTCAAGTCCTTTCTTCCCCATCTTCCTAGTCTTTTCTTCTTGACAAATGATTCTGGGTATATGAATGCATGGCAAGTGTTGCTTTCACTGTGTGCACATGGATTTGTTTGCTTCTTTTTTGGCAGTTACATCTGGAAGCCTCAAAGCATAGTTTATTGATGCTGACTATCTCCCAAAATCTCACCATGAAGAGAACAATCTAAATGTAACTAATATGAGATAAATCATCTTGAAAAGAGTAATATGTGATTGGCAAAGGAAAACAGGGCATTAGACTTTACAGTGCCTAAAAGGAGAATCAAAGAGTATGAGGTTGTTAGTGTTTCTCTAACCCTGTCCACTTGATCTGATGCTAATAAGCAACACCAGTTCATAGCTAGAGAGAAGAAGGACATTTCACTGGCCTGCCACGTTTTAGGAACATTAACATAACCTTGCTCTCATTCTCTGCTCACCAAGCAACCTTGTCACCTATAATCTGGTTTTTCTGAGTTGATCTACCCTTTCTTGAGAGAATGAGTGAATAAACTGTTACAAAGAAAGAAAAATAGTCCAAAGTGACATTTTATAGGAACTGAGTTTATCTTTTATTCTGTAGTGAAGACATCCTAGGAAAAGACTTTAATTGCCATCCTAGGGGAATTGAATTGTAAGTCTACGGTCTGGATGAGTCAGCAGTTGCAGCCTATGGTTAGAGGTGACATTGGCTATGACTTTTCTCACAGGTAATTGCTGAAATGTGGGGTTTGAGGGAAAAGGGAGAGGGGGTAAGAGAGAGAGGAGAGGGAGGGAGAGAGAGAAGTGGGACACAAAAGTTTATGGGAAAAGAGGTTTCTTTTGTTTCTGGCTTGGGGCTCAGAGTTATTTGGTTAATAAGAAGATCACACATTCCTATTAATTTATGAAAAAAAATATCAGTGATGTACCTTGATTTCCTTCTAAACTCAGGATGAGAATTAATAAGGATGTGGACGAGTAGTAGTTAGAGATTGCTGAGGGTTTGTGTGATTGACAGCTTTTGCTTGTCAGACCGGTTATTCTCCACATAGGCTACAAATTGCATAGTTAAAGTGAAGGAGGACATTTCATTGGCCAGTTATACTTTAGGAACATCAAAATCCTTTTGTTTTTATGCAATGCTCACTAAGTAAACTGAGACTCTCCACCAGGAAGGCATATTGTGTGGAAATAACTAGTCTTCTTGATCTTAATCCTAATATCAAGATCCTCAAACAGTGGAGAGGATGATGAGACACTGGAACCATGGACCTCACTGAGATATTTGCTACTTCTGTGGCTCAAGTTGAACAGTCTACTTGACTTTTTACCATCTCATTCACTAAGATACTATGAACATTTATTAATTACCTACTATATACAGGACACTATATTTGGCAAAATAATCCCTGCTCTCTAGCAGCTTACATTCCACTGTGGCAGGGTTGGGGTAGGGTGGGAAGAAAAAAAAAACACGTAAACAGTAAGTATATATGTGATCATTTTAGGAGGGAGAATCGGGGGAATCAGGTTAAGAAGAGGTATATGAGCAGGAATCCAAGGCATATTGCAGGAAGCAAGGGATTCTAAGAGGCATAAGTAAAGATGGAGTGTATTCCAGGCATGAGGCACAGGTATGGAGGTAACAGATGGAATGTTGCCACTGCTGAGTATTATTTGTATAATTACAAAGGAAGACAAGTTCTTCAAGGATAGGGATTATGTCTTACAATTTTGTGTCTCATGGGCGGGTAGTAGATGCTCAATAAATATTTATTGAATGAAGTTAAATTGAAAGTAGATACTGTGGTCTTTTCCCTCAAAGTGTTTATTATCTTTTATGGTGAGGAATAATATGTGACATCTGAGATCATAAAATAATTGTTGGATATTCCTCTGACACAAAGATTTACAAGATTATTATAACTGGAAATGGTAACATATAAATATCAACAAAAGAAGGATGGGGCTTCACATGGAATCTAGAGAAAGGGGAAGCCACGTACTATGTGGAGTAGGTACTTGGCCTTGAGAGTCATTCAAACAGAACTTCACCTCAAAACAGCTGTTATGCCTTCCTCCTACAGTGCCTAAAACTCCACCAGCCATAATTATTGCTTTTTGGTTAAAGCATTGCCTCTCTACAACAAGCATCTGGGAGTGGGCAGGTGAGAAAGGAATGCAAGGCAGAGGGATGCTGAAAACAAATTTTAGATTATGTTTTCCCTGGCTCAGTCTGATCTCTTTTTCTCTCCCTCTCTCTCCTCCTTTCCACCCGCCCCTTTACACACAAGCACATTAAAAATATTAAGAATTCACATTTTTGTTGTATAAGTCCCTAAAAATAGAAGACTGCTTCCCAGTTTAAATTTGGAGCTTGACTGATCTACCAGGTTCAAATTTCATGCACACCTATCCAACAGTCTATCTTAGTTGTCACTCACTTTCCTACCTAAATAAATTTGAATTTGTTTTTGTTTTCCTACGATGAATTTTTAGTTTCTCATATTAACAGCACTATTAGTATGAGGGTAAAGCTGAATCAATAGTGTAGCAAAACTGCCAGCAGGGCAGCTAATTATGTTGTATCTGGTACCAATTTACCATCTTGGAGTTATCTGGATGATTCAAAAAGATCATTTTGGTCATTTGGATTGAAAATGAAAGGCTGAATAAGCAAGCACTTCCCTGATAACATGAAAAAATGATTTAAATTAGGTTGAGGAATTAGGATACTGAAACAGAGAATAAAAAATATTACAAGTGAAGAACCGATAACTTTTGAGTAAGGAAACAAAGATAACCACTAAATTATATATCTATCCAATTGAAAATATGGTAGTATGGTAGCACTGGCTAAAGAGGGCTTAAAGGGAACGATAACTGTTTTTGTCCTTAAAGTTATGAATATATATTTCCAATTACCAAGAAAAAGAGAAAACGTTGGGTTCATCAATCTTCTATTTAAAATTTAGTCAGATGTGCAATGGTTGTCTTTTCTGACTTGCTCTTTCACTGACTTAAAATCCATTAATTTAATCTCATCAGATAGAAGCAGAATGAAATAGCTGTTAAATATTTCACGTGACAATGGGAAAGAATCTATTGGTTTTTGAATCCATACTTGAAGGTTGAAGGGACATTAAAGGGGATAACTCAGGCTAGAACATATGTTTGAAAAGGACAGAATAGAAAAAAAATGCCAAAGAATTAGGAAATCTAATTAAATTCGGCAGATTTTTTAGAGTTGAGCTCCATGGTTGAGAGGGATGTTGCATCCAATTATCATCTTCTTGGCTATTAGATAAGGTATTCTCATTACATGCTGAGAGTTAACCTCTTGATACATTACTTTTAATAAGTAGGTTTATGACAGCATACTAAATCTTCTCCTTTGGGATCAGTGCATAATGTTTACAAAGCAAACAAACAGCCTTTCTTTCTTTTTTTTTTCTTCTGGCACATGTATTAGAGAATTTCATCCTAAGAAGGGCATTCTATAGTAGAAACTTTGTTCAAAAATTCCCCTAGGAATTGCTATACCAATGGGCAAATCCACAGTCTGTTAAAATAATTAATCAGCAATAGGAAAAATCCCACCAGGAGAAAATGTTTTATTTATCAACAGGTCTGTTTGTGTGTTCTTTCCTGAGTTAAAAGGATGGTTTCTGAAACAGGCTAAGGCTGAGAGATGAGTCCCAGTGACAGTAACAATATCAGGTGTCAGGAAGGAAGATTGAAGGATCTTTCAAAAAATAAGTATATTGCCTTTCTTATGTTTGCCAAAGCCTAATTCTTTTCAAATGTCAACTGATGAATATTTAGAAAGATAGACTCACTTCACTGTATTCCCCAATCTCAATTTAGAAAGAATTGCTATTTTTCAAAAGGAGCAAAAAGCAAAAGAATACATACCATTGCACCAGGATCTCCTTTTGGACCCTATAGGGAAAGCATTAAAATATATATTTAAGTGATTAGCAAAAATAGAACCATAGCACCCACTCTCAGTTTGCATTGGCTCATCTTCTGGTGAATTTATTATATTAATTACAATTATTCATAATAATATATTTATTTATATGTTAAATGTAATTTATAATATAGTAATTATATTAATGACTAAAAAATCATGCAAACTCTATATGTGCCCAGAGCAACTCTTCTACCTTAAAAATCAATACCTGACGAGTATCTAGTCAAAAATAGGGTTGTCTGGTGGGGTAAGTGTTTGGAGCAATATCCCAGGCTCTACTGATTACTATCTGTGTCACCATGGACGAGTTACAACCATTCTGGGTCTCTGTCCTCTCATCTTTAAAATAAGGGAACTGGGTTTGATGACCTGTGATGTCCCTTTCAACTCTTAATCTATGATCTTATGTTTTTAGTTTCAGAGAGTATGACAGTAAGACAAAATTCCAATTATTTGTTTTTAATGCAGAGAAACTTTTAGCAACCACAACCCAAGTCTTTTAATTATTTCCCTTGTGCTATGAAAATTTTCTCTGCAACTCAATGTGAAGGCTGTCACTGACTTTGAGAATCTTTTCATGATCACTGTTTGGTTAATGTGAGATTACTTAAAAGAAATGAGTACTCACTGAAGGACCAGGGGGTCCAGGATAAGTAGCAACACTTCCACCTCCCTAAATTGATAAGGGGAAAAAGTGCCAATTAATACTTATATAACACTGGAAAATAATTTTAAGTGATTAAAAAAGTAACTACCTGGAGTTTATATAAACTGCTCATTCCATTCCCTTCGCTGAGTGGCATACTCTGAAAGATGAGAAAAGAAATCATTCAACATATGCAGTGATTATCATTTCCATCCCTTCATGTCAATGGTCCAGTAGAACTGATGATTTATACTGGATTTTTGGAAATATATGCTGCTAACTCCAAGAATGGCAAAACACTCAAATAGGAAAATAAGTTAATTCTATGGATGATGGAATTTATAGTAACAAAAATTCAGCTTCTGTTTTTAGCTTCCCTAGGGGCAAAAAAACAGAAACAAAAACCCCTGTAAAAGAAAAAGGTAAAAAGCATTTGAGTCACACCTGGAGCATAAAAGCACTTTTAGGGCAGATTGAAATAAATGCTAAAGCCTAGATTATGGATACAAAGGAAAATAGTACCTATTCATTAAAATTCAGTTGTTGAATTACCAGTTTATATTGTTTATACCCTGCTGACCTCTGTAGCGTATATCACAGGCTAACACACAAGACAACTAATAAAAATGGGAACATGAGAAAATCTGGTTACTGAAAAGTAGTTTTCCCCACAGTTTCTTCATAAGACACAGATGATTAAGGAGTAGATGCTGTATGTCAGAGTGTGAACTTATTCATAAAAATGCATCCCTAGGAAAAATGGGGAACAGCTTTGTAGGCACAAAGTTTACATGCAACTTGTAACGTCCAAAATCAATAAACACTTAAAAACAAAATTCTAGAATCTTTAAGACAGGAAATTTTCATTCAGGGAAACCCCAACCTTTGCCTGTTGTCGTTCAGTTGTTTCAGTCATATCTGACTCTTTGGGACCCTGTTCGGGGTTTTTCTTGGCAAAGATACTGGAGTGGTTTGCCATTTTCTACTCCAGCTCATTTTACAGATGAGGAAACTGAGGCAAAGTTAAGTGACTTGCCCAGGGTCACACAGCTAGTAAATATCTGAGCTTCCTCAGACCCCATTATAAATAAAATAATAGCTATCCTGGGAATCTGAGGATGTTCATAGTTTTGGTTTGGCTCTTCTGCCAGCTACTTGGGTGACTTCAGGTAAGGCTTTTCACTCCCTCAGAGTCTTAGTTTCTGCTGCTATACAATGAAGAAGTTAGAGGTGATGATCTTCTCTAACTAAAATGTTGGCCATGCCATAGTAAATGTCACCTCAGCCAAATTCTTCCTCTTTGTGTGGACAAATATTCCTAACTGTGCCTTCTCTTTTATGATTGCATATCCCATTTGGAAATAAAAACGAAGAAGCAATAGATACTAGATCACCACTTTGAGATTCTCATGTCTGCTGGACTTCATAGCATAGGTCTACTGCAATAGACCAGGTGTGAGGTGATAAGTACCTGCATCAGGATGGTAGCCATATCAGAGAAGATAAGGGAATGTATTTAAGAGATGGGAAGGTAAAACATATAGTTCTTTGCAACAGTCTGAATATGGAAGGGTGATAGATAGTAAGGAGTTAAAGATGAACCTGGGGCTTAGGTGGATGGTGGAGCCCTTGAAAGTGATAGGGAAGTTTGGAAGTGTTTAGGGGGAAAGAAAGTGAATTCAGTTTTGGACATGATGTGTTTAAGATGTCCACTGGACATACAGTTCAAGATGACTGAAAGACAATTGGAGATGTGAGACTGGAAGTAAAACAGAGAGGTGAGGGTTGGGTAAGTAAATTTGAAAATCATTGGCATAAAGAATAATAGAATATTTGAATCTATAGGACCTGATGAGATCACCAACCAAGGCAGTATAGAGAGAGAATAGAAGAGGGTACAGGACAGAGTACTATGGGACCTGCAGTTAGTGAGGATGACCTGGATGAGTCAGCGAAGGAGACTAAGGAGCAGTCATATAGGTAGGAGGAGAATGGGAGGGAATGGTGTCCTGAAACCTAGAGAGAAGAGAGTACTAAAGAGAAGAGGGTGGTCGACATTGCCAAAGACTGTAGAGAGGTCAAGGAGAATGAGGATTGAGAAAAAATTGGATTTGAAAATCAGAAGGTTATTGGTAAATTTACAGTAAACAGTAACAGTGGAATGATGAGGCCAGAAGCTGGATTGTAGAGTTAAAAGAGAGTGAGAAGAGAAAAAGTGGAGGGACTATTGTAGACAGACTTCTCAAGGAGTTTAGCCACAAAAGTCATAAGGTATTTAGGAGGATAGTGGGGATGGAAGGACTGAGTGATGGGTTTTTTTTTTTAAGGATGAGGGAGACACAGGCATATTTGTAGGCATTAGGGAAACAGCCAGTAGACAGGGAAAAGTTGAAGTAAGAGATTAGGGATGACAGAAGGAGCAATTTGTTGAAGGCAGGATGGAATGGGACTGCTTCTTAAGGTAGAATGATTTGCCTTGGAAATAAATAAGGCTATGTGTTTGTGTGAGATAGAAATGAAGTTGGAAATAGTGGCAGAAGACATTTGAATGGTATGAAATGAGGAGGAGTGGAGAAGAGGGAGTTCATGGTGAATGGTCTCAATTTTTTTCTGTAAAATATAAGGCAAGGTTCTCAGCTGAGAGCATGGAGGGATAGGGAGCCCTGGATGGCTTGAGGAGAGATGAAAAGGCTTTGAAGAGCCAGTGTAAGAGTGGGATAGTGAAGCAATAAGGTAAATATAACAGGATTGCCTAGCATCAGTGAGGTCCTAGTTGAGGTCACATAGCATAAATCTGTAGTGGACTCAGTCAGAAAGGTTGTGGATTTTCTCCACTATCACTCAGCAGCACATGTAGGAGTGAAAGGAACAGATATTGTATGATCCAAGGCTGAGGGATGACAGGAAAAAAAATAGCATATGATAAGGAGGCCAGGGACCCAGAAGAAGAGGACAGCATAGAATTCAACTAGTTCAGTAAGGGGCCAGTATGGGAGAAAGAGGAGAGGGTGGATAGTGCACAGATGGTAGCCTGGGAAAGAAGTCAGGGTTCGAAGGATTGGAGGTCATGGTGTGGACAAAAAGAAAGCTTTGGTATGGGACAGCAGAGGGAAAACTGAAAAGCCAATAGATTGTGATCAGATAAGGGAATTTCAGAATTTCTGGACATAAATATGGTGTATTTGTGGGGTGCCTGGAAGTGGCAATAAACAACAAGGAACATTCCAACTCCCCTGCCTCAACCAGTGAGCTATGAGGAATAAGTGAAAGTTCAGCCAGTGTTGGAAAGGATGGCCAGGGAGGCTTGTATCGTCAGTGGTGAGGATGGAAGAAATGAGACAGGAGAAGATTTAAGATGAGGGCCAGTTTTTAAACTGGCATAGTGGAAGGGATGGGTAATGTTTGGTTAGAGTAGGAGGATTGAGGGTGGTGGAAATTAGAAATCAGGAGGGGAGGGAATAGCTTTTGACATTGTCAATCACCTTCTTTTGCTTTTTCCTTGATCTCTTTCTACCTGGAATGATGACTTACAGGGGTTCAGATTCTCTGGGATGCAGAGGGTAGATTTGAATGTGTTAATCATTAAGTGAAGGCACCCCTCCTCTTCCCAGAGGAGGCTGGAGTTCAGAGAGGAGAAATGAGCCAGAGGAGATGAAAGGTGTGTGGACAAATAGAAAGGTCCCATTTATTTTCTCTTCTTTCCTCCAAAGGCTGGAGATCAGTCAGGCAATAGCACAACAGGAGATAGAAGTCTCACTCCCTGCTGCCTTTCCTCTTCCTCCTCCCTCAGAGAATATGGAAGGTACTCCATGCAAGAGGAGATGGAAGTCAAGATCTTGCAGATGGAAGCTGGGCTCTAGCTCTGGGTTGCCTTTCCTCTTTCCTCAGGGGACACAGGTAGCAGGGGCTGGAAGGCACACTCAGATGGAAGACTGTGCTTTACCTCTCTTCTTCCCATCATCGGCTGTTGACTAAACGTCTTGAGAAGGCTAGTACTTCTACTTCTTTCCTTTCACTCTCTTTTTAACTCTGCAGTCTGGCTTCTGACCTCTCATTCAACAGATAACACTCTCTTCACAGTTCACCAATGATATCTTAATTGCTGAATCTGAAGGCCTTTTCTCAGCCCTCTTCTTTCTTGACCTCTCCTCAGCTTTTGACGTTGTCAATCACCCTCTTCTCCTTGATACTCTCATTCTAATAGGTTTTATGATGCTGCTTTGTCCCTGATCTCTTTCTACCTGACTGCTACTTCTCACTCTCTTTTGCTGAATCTTCATCTGTGTCATGCCCCCTAACTGTAGCATTTATTCCCAAATGCTCTGTCCTGGGTTTTCTTTACTTTTCCCTCTGCACTATTTTACTCAGTAATCTCATGTGCTCACATGGATTTAATTATTTTTATGCTGTTGATTTTGAGATCCGTTTATCTAATCCTAACCTCCTATCTTGAACCTCCACATGCCTATTGGATATCTTGAATTGGACATTAGTTAAACTTAAAACTTTTGAAGTCCCCAAACTGAACTAATTTTCTTTCCTTCCAAACCCTTCCCTCTCTTGAACTTTCCTATTGCTATTTATGGAACCATAATCCTTCCAGTTGCCAAGGATCTCAACCTAGTTTCATACTCAATTTCTTATTCTCCATATCAAATCACTTGCCATGTTCTGTCCATTTTACCTTATAACATCTCTCTTATATATCCTTTCTCTTCTCTGACACTGTGACCACCCTAGTGCAGGCCCTCATCTCCTCATACCTGGAGTATTGCAACCTACTGGTTGGTTGGCCAGGAAGTCTCTCTTCACTCCAGTCCATCCTCCACACTCAGATGTCAAATTGATCTTCCTAAACCATGTTCTGACATGTCAGCCTTTCATAACCTGCCCTCTTCCTTCTTTTCCAGCCTTCTTACACCTTTGTCCTTTCCATATGCTATGTGATCAATGACACTGGCCTCCTAAGACACTCTTATCTCTTGACTCTCACATTTTCATTGGCTGTCCCCCATGCCTGGACTTCTTTCCCTTCTCATATCTGCCTCCTGGCTTCTCTGACTTTCTTCAAATCTCAGCTAAAATCCTGCCTTCTACAAGAAATCTTTCCCAATATCCTTTAATCTCTCTGTGATTATCATTAATTTATCTTGTGTATATCTTGTTTGTACATAGTTTGCCTGTTGTCTCCCCCATTAGACTTTGAGAGCTCCTTTAGGAGGAGCCTTTTAAAAGAAATCTTTATTTATATCGCCAGTGCTTAGCACAGTGTCTAACACATAGCAGGTGCTTAATAAATACTTGCTGATGACTTATAATGCCAACCTCAGGAATATCTTCTGGATGCTCTGATCAAAACCCTGAGGATACTGTTTCCCATTTGAACTAAACACTCCTATTCTACTCTCCAGGATTGTATGATTTTTTTTCATCCTAAGAAACATTGAGCTGCTTTTGCACAAAAATGCAGCAATAACACCTAGACTACCCTTTTCTACCCTTTACTGTTCCCCTTAGCCTCATTTGACCCCTCTACTTGTATGAGATATGATTCAAGCGCTTACCTAGAAAATGCTAGTTTTAATCAGTGTTCTCTCTCCTAGCTCTTTAAATTATGGGTTCTTAGTGATATGAAAGGGAGGATGATGATAAAATTAAGTAGGTGTTAGCTGTTTCCAGGAGAAAGGATTTCTCAGACTTGTACTTGTGGAATATTTCTGATGATAACTGTTTTCCTGATCCCTTGTGGTCTAACTTCTAGGGACTTCGTGCAACATAATTTGGATCTCAAATATTTCCTGTTCCAATGATTTGCTTTTTGTCAAGGAGAAACTACAAAAAAAAAACTGGGGGAAATGGCCTGGGCTAAAAATAGAATATTTAAATAATTTGCTGCTTAAATATCTTATTTCTCTTAAGATTCAACGTTCACTTTTCCCACTTATTAGGGAACAAGAGCTCTTGTAATTCTTAAAGCCAGAACCAGTATGGGCAGAGCAGTATTATGTTTCAGGGTGCTAAAATGGATGATAATTCCTCCTCATGAGGAATTCTACCAAAGGCAGTCACCATCCTAATGACAATTAGTCTAACCATTCCTTCTTTCCAGCCAAGGTTCTTATGGTTCAATTCTTGCTTCATCCCACCCTTGCAAGAGCAATGCTGAAGTTCTTTCTCATCTATATTTGGATAGTTCTCTATGTAGCTACCCTTTCCTCAGCTGCTTTTGTCTCAGATAAAAAGGCTCTTTACTCATGACTCTGGGAGGAGGGGTGAATCTTTAACCCTGTATGACTACAGAGCACTGCTATCGTTTGAACATAGCTTCAGATGAGGAAAGAATTCAATGCATAGGTCTCAAGAGCTAGAATGGACCTCAAAGATGATTTAGTTATATCTAATCATTTTGATTTATATTGATTGAAGAGGATATATAAAATTATTCCTCTGTCCTCCATATATGGAAAGTCATATGTCTTTCATTATCATCAAGATCATAAAAATTATTATCTAATTTATTACACAAGGAGATTTTCACGTACTATGCATCTTATTTCCAAATTCCTTGAGGGCAGGGACCATATTTTACCTAAACTCTGTATCTCGACATTGCCTGGCATAATCCTTTAAATATGACAGCTACTTAGTAAATGCTAGTTGATTTGATTCTAATTTGTTTATTATCCTTGACCCCTGGGGGCTGAGACTTGAGGAAAGTACTTTGGTGTGTGCAGGCAAGTATGAGAAACGAATAGTCACATAATTATACTGATGCAGAATGAGCAATAAAATATTTATAAAGGACAAAATTAAATGTGTTTTGCATGTAGAACACATAGGGGACAGTCAAGACTTTCCAAGGTTAAATGGGTATATGGTTTATTTATTTATGATATATATTTTATATATATGTATATATGTAGATACATATATATCTAATTATATATGATAATTTGTGTTAGCTTTGTGTTATATCTAAACATAGATTAGGTAATAAGTTATCATTGTTAAAAATGTGAACTTCAAAGTTTTCAATCATGAAAAAAAAAACTTACAGGAGGTCCAGGTGGTCCAGGTTTTCCAGGTGATCCTTCATTGCCCTGAAAATGTATAAAAATTATATGTATTACAGTTGGAAAATATTTGGTTTAGCTACTGTTTTCTATACGTCACCTAGTGTCTATTGTGTCTTGTGTACCTAACCTATTTCACCGATCCACCACTCTATTTCTTAGCCAGTACCAAGTAGTTTTGATGATTTTTCCTTTATAATACAATTACAGATCTGGTAAAGCCAGGCCACCTTACCTTGCATTGCTTTTCATTACTTCCCTTGATATTCTGGACCTTTAGTTCTTCCATATGAATTTTGTTATTTTTTCTGGCTCTACAACAATTTTTTGGTAGTTTGATTGGTATGGCACTGAATAAGTAAATTAATTTAGGTAGAATTGTCATAGCTCAGCCATGAGCAACTCATATTTTTTCAAGTATTTAGATCTGACTTTATTCGTGTGAAAAGTGTTTTGTAATTGTGTTGATATAGTTCTGGGTTTCTTTTGGCAGGTAGACTCCCAAATACTTTATAATGTCTACAGGAACTTTAAATGTAATTTCTCTTTCTATCTCTTGCTGTTGGGCTTTGTTAACAATATATAGAAATGCCAATGATTTGTGTAGATTTGTTTTACATCCTGCAACTTTGCTAACTTTGTTATTTCAAGTTGATGCTCTAGGATTCTCTAAGTATACCATCATATTATCTGCAAAGAGTGATAGTTTTGTTTTTTCCTGGCCTATTCTAATTCCTTCAATTTCTTTTTCTTCTCTTATTGCCAAAGCTTAAATTTCTAGTACAACATTGAGTAACAGTGGTGATAATCACCTAGTGTCTATACACCATAAATATGAATGTCAAAAGAACCATCCTTTGAAAAAAATACTGTTACACCATTTTGTTTCTACCTGCCTGATCATTCATTCTGATTCCCTCCCTCTCGTTCCCCTTAATATAACTCAAGGAATAGTCTAACCCCTTTATTTTACAGATGAGGAAATCTGAGCCCCAGGGAGATTAGAAGAATACAAATTTCCTAAGATTAAGGATTGTTCCATATACCATATTTGTATCTCTAGCACCTAGCATGGTGCTTGGCACACAGTATATGTACTTAAAGAATTGCTGATTAATTGTCCAACCTATTTCTTCCGCACAGAAAAGGGCAGTATATCTTCTTATATTCTTCTTCTATCATTCCTATTGATAGGAATTATGTCCAGGTGACAGAAATAGTGAGCTAGCAACCCCAGGTAGTCACACATCTGGTTCTAAGTGACATCTGCCCTACACATTTGATGTACATGGTGATGCCTCTATGCAAAGACAAAGGGGGCTGGGACACTTTCATGCCTTCTGTAGGCTTGTTTCTCCCTTGATCCCACTGTATCCACTTCAGGTTTTGTGTGCCAAGGGCATGTTCATGTAAAATTATGTACAAAACCATTATGAACAGCTTTCTTCATTTGGCAGTGTGGCATAATAGACAGAGAGCTAGCTCCTGAGTCAGGAAGACCTGCGTTCAAGTTTTGTCTCTGATACATACTGGGTGTGTGACTCTGGGCAAATCACTTAACTCTCAGAGTACCAGGTGACCCTCTAAGACTATAGGTTGCAGAGCAGGCACTGATTGGTTTATTAGAGAGAATTTCCTCACTAAGAGTTTCTCTAAATTAAATCATGGGTACAATCTAAAAAAGAAAAAAAAATAGGTGTGTCCTACTAAATATAAGTAATAACTATAGAATACTACTTTGGCGAGATTTCCTTTACAGTAAAAATTGTCTGGGACAGATTATTCTTTTCTAAAGAATCAGGATGAAAAATTTATGAGAAAAGAAATTCAGGATTTAACTTGAGAAAATATATTTCATAGCATGTTTTAAAACATAATTCAAAAGTTTCCTTTTCTTCATGGTGGAGTGATTTTAGAAACTTTAATGTCAAGGTATTGTAGTATTCCTAATTTTTCTCAGGACAATAATTTTGTATCTAAAGCAAACAACAGCAGAGTCTGTGCATGGGTTTGCATGTAATGCTACATTCAGGCCAACTTCTTTAACCCTTTTATTTCACACATGAGGAAACTCAGGCTCAGGGAGGGTAAGAGAATTGTAAATTTCCCAAGACTAAGGATTGTTCATTTGCTGTATCTGAATTTCTAGCATCTAGCATAGTGCCTGGCATATAGTGAGCACTTAAATGTTTGTTGATTAATTTTCCTAAGTCACAATGGTAGTATTAGAGGCAGAATCTGAAGTTACCTTCTTTGATTCAGGAGCCAATGTTCTTTACACTATCCCAAGGAATAAGAAGGGAAAGTTACACACTCCCTATTCATGTGGCTCAAGTATCTTGATGGCCCATAGATGTTAGCTCATTTCCTGAGTTTGGGTCAAAAATGAGTGGTAACCAGGTATTCCCATAAAAAGCATCATGCCATCTTTTATATTCACATAAAGTACACTACTGAGTCCTTCAAAACTTCTCATTCAGAATACCAAGTCTTTGCATTTGCCTAAACACACATCCAGGCAGTCCATCCTTGTGGGTGTCTCTAAACCATATTAGATGTGAGTGAGTGGTGGCAAAGTGTCTTTCAGGGAATTATGCCAAAGTGTTCACAAGTCAATTAATAATGAAAAATGTATGACCACTAAAAGACACTTTCTGGCACAATATCTACAATTGAAACTCATTTTTCATCTTATGTTGTGCCCCAAAGCTCATCTGAGTGTGGAATTCCCATTAACTTCAAAGGCAATGGAATGTCTGAATGGATTCCATAGAGGATGGAGATGAATGAAAAAATAAGGGGGGCCCTTGTGACATTACCAGAGCAAATCTTCTAAAACTCTATAGAATAAGCACATTGTTTCCTTTAAATTTATGTTAGCATTTCTCTGTTACTCACTACCATTATGCCTCATTTCTTTTCAGTGATGCTGTTTGGTAATTGAAAAAAAAAAAAGAATGAATTTTCCCTGGGACAGTATAATGTCATGCTACCCTCTTCCTGCCCCACCCCCCTCCAATTCCCCTATCATTAGTAGCTAGGCTTACTCAGTTTAGTCCAGGGATGAGGAATCTGTGGCCCTGGGGTCATATGTGGCGCTTTAGGTCCTCAAGTGTGGCCCTTTGACTGAAACCACACTTCATGGAACAAATTCCTTTAATAAAAGGATTTGTTCTGTAAAACTTGGACTCAGTCAAAAGGCTGTACCCAAGGACCTAGAAGGCCACATGTGGTCTCAAGGCCAAGGTCCCCACCTCTGGCTTAGTGTATAGGCTCTGCTCTGCCTTAGGTTGGACTTAGGGAAACAGATATTAGGAGTTTTAGTTCTTTACTAGCTCAGGACGGAGCCAATCTTCTGGTCTTATTCTGACTTTGGGACCCTTACAATTTGTCTTTGTCTAATACTTAGTTTCCCAGTAACTTGTTCTTGTTTTGTACTCTTCCTACTATTTAGTTGTTTTTCAGCTGTGTCTGATTCTATGTTACCCTATTTGGGGTTTTCTTGGCAAAGATGCTGGAGTGATTGCTGTTTCCTTCTCTAGCCCGTTGTACAGATAAGGAACTAAGGCAAACAGAGTAAAGTGGCTTGCCCAGGGTCACACAGCTAGTAAATGTTTGAGGCCAGATTTGAACCCAAGAAGATGAGTCTTCCTGACTCCAGGCCTGGAACTTTATCTAATGTGCCACCACCTAGATACCCCTAGCTTGTACCCTTGTTTTTCAGCAGCTAGGTTCCCTGCTCTATACCTAGTCTTTCAACTTGTAGATTTCATGCCTAGTGCACTGCTGTCCTCAAGGATTGGATTCCTTTTCTTTGAACATAAGGGTGACTTCATTTGGGTCCCTTCTATCTGCTGCCCTATGTCCCAGTCAACTGCAACTCCCTCTAATAAATGCTCCTGTTTCTGCTTGATCAGACAGACCTCATGACTCTTGGATTCATCTTGGACTTCTTGCTTAATGTGATTAGATCCTGCCTGTCTTCTTCCTTATGGATGGATTTCCTGTGTCTAGACCATTCAGTATGGGGTCCATGTTTGGGCTCCTATTCCTGTAGGCTGCTTCTGTTCCTATGTTCAGATCCCCTCACACCCAACTTCACTCAGCCCTTTGGATTTATCTTGAGATCCCACTTTTACCTCCTCTTGTCTATCCTGTCCTATCAGTATCTGAGTCTTGGTTATAACAATTTCATACACAGACACACAGATACACATACATAAATGTGTATACACACACACACACACACACACATATATACATTCACATATACACACACAGATGTGTATGTGTACATAGGGTATTTTTTTAGGAGGGGTGGTTTACCTTTTCACCTTTTGCTCCAGGAGGACCAGGATGTCCAGTTCTTCCTGATGAGCCCTGTAACACACCAGGTTGGTTTATGAGGAAAACAATAAAATGACACCAAAGTTTGACTGCTAAAACTTACCCAATTTGAAGGTCATTTGGTCCTAATTAAATCAGTCCTAAAAGTTTACATTTCTTCTGGCTGATAGAACAGCTGCATGCGACTGATAAGCCTTCAAATGGTAAAATTTGTATTTTGTGGCTGCTTTCTTCACCTTGGCCAACTACATGTAGTGACCTTAATTGGAACCTTTCGATACAGCTAAGAATTTAGACTTGCTGTTTAAATGGTCATTTACATAACATTACCCATTATGTATTCCTAAATGGGCTATAATTTTTGAAAGCCATCAACTTTTTAAATACTTCAAGAAACTGGAGAATTAATGATTTCTGTACTGGGCTATGTGTTCTGCATCATATCAACAGAAAATAAAAACTAACTTTAGCCTTTTTTTGGAATATAAAAGCCACATTTCCCATAATTCCTTTAGTAGCCTGTCCCTGTGCTTTTAATGTTAATACACAATTTTCAGTTATGCTTATGGTTGTGTGAAGGCTGGCTCTATGATGACTGTGTGGAAAACATAAGTGACTTAGAAATGTCAGCTCTAGCCAGTGTACATCAGGGAACTCAGAAGCATTGTAAGCTGTATTGCTTATAGCATATTCCTAATTAACTGCTCCCCCAATAACAAGAAACATTTATTTATCACTTCATGTATGAAGAACACTGTCCTAGGCAGTGAAACAGGCACAGAATTTAGATAAAATATTGTCTCATCTTCTGGAGCCTACTGTTTAGTAGGTGGATAAGACACTTATAAAGATAGCAGTAACATAATATTACAGGCTAAAAGGGTTAAAAAACAATGTGAGGTCTGACTGGAGAAAGTATTAGCAACCTACAAGATGCAACAGAGATAGAGGAAAGCTTCATGAAGGAGCCAGCGTTTGAGCTGGACTTTAAAGTATGAGTATGAATTAAATGAGTATGAAGTAAAATATGAGTAAGAAGAACTGAGCAGGTAAAAAGGGAGCTACTCTAAGCATATGGAAAAATGAGAGGTGGGAGAGTACAGGGTGGGTTGGAGAGCAAAGAAAAGTCTGGTTTGGCTGAAGCAAAGAGCGAAGACAGAGGAATAATATGACTGAAGCCTGGAAAGGAGGAAAGGTAGTTTCAGATTCTCTAGGGCCTTAAGATCCTAAAGAATTTGAAGCTTATTTGACAGTCAACAGGGACCCATTGAAGATTTTTGAGATAAGGAGTGACATGACCACATCTGTACACAAGAACAATAATTCCCATAGAACTACTGGACTGTGCTCAGGTCAAGTAGACCCAGAACGGAAGTTTGTAGGGTCTACTGAGATTGCGCTGACACAGGAAAAAACCTTTCTCATTTAATGTCTTAAGAATAAAAAAGAGAAATTCTCTTCCCAGCTCACCTAATCCAATTACTAGTTTATCTTCAAAATGCAGTAACTTTGCTGTTGAGACACAGGGATAATGTCTTGATTAAAGACTTTCTGCATTATGGTGAGAGAAAAGTGGTACCTATTGCTATGCATATTGCATGAGGAGCACTAAGTCTCAGGACAAATGAAGCTATGGATTATGGGAATTCATTCAAGAAGCTTTTAAGGAACGCCTATCTTGTGGTCAGCACGAAGTTAGGTAGTTGTGTTTTTGTAAAACATGTAAGATCAATGGAATCGCTTTACAGCAGTGACTGTTAAAAACCTTGTGAGGAACTGAACACTGAAACTGAATGAGTAGAAATGGGTTAGCCAATCATTAATCTCTTACCCACTATTTGCCCATGTGCTGGGCACTGTGGGGGGAGGGCACAAAAATATACAAAGCACAATCCCTGTTCCCCAAAGTAACGTCTGGAGTCAAAACTAACTTACACTGTAGAAGACTGTATACAACTGAGAGTTAAATTGGTAGCAGAGATTAAAAATACAATGGTTCAGAGAAGATCAAATAATCAATGGGAAAGATGTTATGTACAATGAAAGACAGGAGCTGAGCCTGGAAGGAAAGGTGTGGGCAAGGAAAAGACTCCCAAGGCAATCTGCCTTTGGGGGCACAGCAAGACTTCCATGAGAGACAACTATCACTCCCAGGTTGGCTGTTGATTGTGGAGGTCCTTCTGACTTGGCTTCTAAGCATTCTTTTTCTGATTAGGACTAGAACAGTGCTCTGCACACATTAGGTGCTGAACAAGAGCTTGCTGAACTGCTAAATTGAATATGTTGTTGAATTATGGACAAAATTCTTATTCTATGAAACTAATGGAGAGTCCCTAATACTCAGAAGGATGGCAAATAATGCTGACTGAAAACTAGTATGGCACTACTTTCTCCATAGCCTTATATACTATATGCATTAGGAAATAGCTTGTGAAATAAAACATAGTAACATGAAATGCTTACAGCAGGTCCAATAGGTCCTGGGGCTCCTGGAGTTCCTGGACTTCCTTGAAGACCCTGAAACGGACATAATTTTAACATAAAATAACTGTACATCTGCAAAAACACCACACCCACTGTATCTGCTATAAAGGTCTTACTATCTATTGTGGTCAGGGAAAAATTATTCTAGATGATCAAGTCACAGAAATGTGAAATCTTAGAATCTGAAGATACCTAAGAGGTCATCTAGTGTAACCTATAAATCTCATCTGTTATTGTAGAAAGAACAATAATGGATTTGGAATAAAAAGATCTGAGTTAAATTCTACCGCTGACACTTACTATCTGTGTGACTCTGGGCAAGTCCCTTAACTTCCTTGTGTTCCAGTTTCCTCATCTGTTAAATGAAGTAGTTGGACTAGATAGGGTCCAATGCCCCTTTGAGCTCTAAATCTATTTTTGAACACTTCCAGTGATGAGAGGCTCACTACTTCATGAGGCTAGTCCCTACTTCATTCTGTTTAACTAAAAACTGCACTCCAGTCATAGCTTACCCAAGTTCAAAAATATTGGTATGCCTAATACCTAATGCTAAAGTTATAGCCACCATAATCTGATTTTTCTTTGATAATTCACAAAGCTCTTTAGGATTTTTTTAGGACCAGGGGGGTCACAGAAACCCAGAATTCTTGATCTGAAATGGACCTTAAATATTACCTGTACTATTGGATTCAATTAGGGAATCCTTTCATCACCAGCATAATCCCCTCATTATGTGAATACATGGAATTGCTAGTTAAAAGTGTTTTCTGATTGAACAAATGTCTTATAAAACTGTTCCTTGTACTTTAGTTATGATTTTCATCTTCAAATCTAATACAGGATTGTCAACTCATATCCCAGAACAAAAGCTATTTTAATAATATTATTAATCAGCTAGGAGTTTTCTTTTTAAAGATGACAATTTCCTCATTAGAAACAGCTTTTCAACATTTAAAAAATTAAACTGGTCTACTAGTTTTTGTTTTTCATAAGAATTTCAGCCTATGAGCAAATCTGAATTTGATTCATGGTCATAGATCTGGAGATGGAAAGGACCTCGGGGATCATTTGATCCAGTTCCTTCATTTTACAGATGAAGAAACTGAGATGTAAAGTGACTTGACTAAGGTTACATAGGTTTGATGGCACTGCTTAAGAATTAATAGCAAAATATTTTTATTTTGAATTTTTCTTGTAAGGCTTAAGATAATAGATAGTATTTTTCTTTAGGGGCAGCTAGGTGGTGCATTGGATACAGTGCTGGGCCTGGAGTCAGGAAGACTCCTCTTCCTGAGTTCAAATCCAGACTTAGACATTTACTAGCTATGTGGCCCTGGGCAAATTACTGAACCCTATTTGCCTCAGTTTCCTCATCTGTAAAAGGAGCTAGAGAAGGACATGGCAAACCATTTCAGTGTCTTTGCCAAGAAAACCTCAAAAGGGTTAACTAAGAGTTGAACATGACTGAAAAATGACAGTAACATTTTTATTTAACTTATCTGAACCTCATTTTCCTCAACAACGAAAGGAGGGATAATAATATTTGCCTTAACTACTTCATATGGCTTATGTAAAGTTTACATGAGCATGTATGTGAATATGTTTTGCTAATTGTCCAACAATATACAAAGACAAAGACAAAAACAGATGAATACAATAACTAGAAATTCCCATAATTATTTTTTTCTATTGTTTTTCATAATACATGACATTGTTGTAAAGGCACATAACCTCTTCAGACTTCAGTCCTACCATCTGTAAAATTAGAGGGTTGGACGAGATGATCTCTAAGGTCCTTCAAAACTTTAAATATTACTATGTAATAATAATGAAGGAAGGAGTTAGAGAGAGGGAGGAAGAGGAAGTGGGGGGGGAAAGAGAGAAGACGGAAAGAAAGAGAGAACAGAGACACTGAGGGGAGGAAAGGAGAAACAGAAACTGAGGCCTGGGCCAGGAAACTTCAATAACTTATCCATGTTCACAAAGTTGTGTAGTTATAGGGACGATTCAAAGTACAGCTAGTGCTTTTCCTTCTACACAAGTTATCCCAAAGTCTTAGTGCAGTTGAAAGCTTTAATAGCTTAAAACTGCACAAAGTCTTTTGGGACACCCTGTACATCCCACTGTGTAACATTGCATCTCACCTAACTAAGAACACTTTTTTTGGCATCTTTTTAATCCATTATCAATCTCTCTAATAATGTAAAAGAAACATTTTCTTTTGGAAAGATGCTATTTATGGATTAGGCCACATGAATATCATAAAGGGTTCATTTAAAAATCTTCATATTCCTACAAAGTTGTGTGTGTATTCTATTTCATGTATAATTCTTTCTTGACCATTGTATCAGTCTAGAGCTGCTGAATGAGTCCTGAGATTTTCTAATTTATAAGCTTGGGGCTCATTAACCTTTGATGACCACATTAAACTTTAAAATAAACTGCAGGCCATAAATAAAAAAATACATTCTCAGCAGTCTTTCTCTGAACAAGCTGAAATGTTGTAGCATAGATAGAAATTACTGTGGATTCATAAAGGGCAATAAGATAATTTTAGGAGACAAGCTGGTCATTGAGGAAGAAAAATACATCATAGGTAGTAGGGCACTCCATTTAGCACAGAGTACCAAGCATAAGTAGAAATTAAAATTTACTATATGTCCATCCCAGGGATCATCAGAGCTATGGCCCTTCATTGCTTGGATATTTTGAGCTCATAAGTCTTCCCTCAGTAATTGCCTAGTGAATATTTATTTCCCATTGTAATAATTCATGGCTGACAGTAGCTCCCCATATCTTAATTAGCCATATTATCCTGAAAACATGCTTAGTAAGCCTTGAGCACCAAGTGAGAGTCCATTGTGTTGAGAGAGGTGTGTCTGCCCTCTACCAGCTTCTAACAAGTTGTTCCCTTGGTATTTGCAATAAATTTTGTAGAAATGTAAATCATGAACATTGGACAAATGAAGTCACTTTGCCATAAGCAGTGGATGTGTACCTTCTCTCTAAAAGTATCCTGTCAGAGGAAGGAGAGGCAAGGGGGAATGGAAGACTTGAAAATATAAAAGTACTTTGCAACTGGTCAGAGACTTTTTTCAGCTGGGAAAATGGCATTCACATTAGGGAAGTCTTTTATTTGACTAATAGATTGGGGGGCGGCAATTGAGAAGAATGTTTTGGGCTCCTGATTTCATTACTAGTGGGAGCTACCATTGGAAAAACTCCCTCACCAATGCATATTAGCAACTTAGATATATAAATACTTGCCTGGAGCAAGGCACAGGGAAATTGTGTTTTGTCTTCTCCATGGCTATGTGGCTAAGTAAGTATCTTGTAAGTATCAGAGGTAGGGCTTGAACCCAGAGAATTCCTGTCTTAAAGGCTAGCTCTTAAACCACAGTGCCAAGTTGCTGTAATGATAGAGTGTAAGGGCTATATTACTTTTCTAAAAAAATCATTTTTAGAAATTATGATTTCTGTTCATGGCTCAGAAGAATCAGGGGAAAGCTGAATTAATAGATTGGTTATTTGATTTATAATGTCCACATTTGGGAAGCTGGTAACTTGAAACCACTGGAATCCCTTAATTCATTAATAGCTTTGTGTAAAATCTTGTATGAGGGTTATATTGTGTCCTGTGTTATGGACTCCTTATGCAATATATTAGAACCAGTAGCTATTTCTAGTGGAGCAGCATGCAATAGCTTTTTAGTCCACAAAGAGAGCAAAGTACCCTACAGAATCAATAAAAATTAACTTTTAATGAATTTACCTTGAAGCCTCTTTAAAAAACTAAATTCCAATTATTTCCTGGCCTTTCTCTTATTACCTTTTCAATTGCTTCCAAAATCTACCTCTTGAATCTAGGCAGTTAAAAGCTGTTGGACCATTTAAAATCTGTTACTGTTATTGCACTCTGGTGCTGTCTTCTAGGGAATTTAAGAAAGCGCAAACTTGTTTACTCTTGTTATTTTAGTGCTTTATTTATGGGTGAAAATAAAAATAAAAAATTCTTGCCCTTGGAGGTGAATTTGGAAGAACATACTTTCAAAATAGCATCAATACAAATGAAAAAACTAACGCATGATAATACCTAGTAATGTGAAGACAGTATAGACAACTATGGTGGCATAAATGATAGGTAGATTCACCTGTAAAAACCAATCTGTTTCATGGTATGCTGGCTTCCTACATTAGCATCAAGGTTAGCATATTCCAGATGGTTTATTTATTTTCATTATGAATTATTAGTTTTAAAACTGCCTAAATAAACAACAATTTATCATCCTAATTGTTTTTTTTTCCAAGAGTTAATGTGAATTATACAGGCACAGAATTGCATCCTGAGTACAACTGTGGCCCAGAGCGGAAATTCTGAGACATTATCTCAAAGCATATTTGACCTTCAATTGGCCATTTTACTTGGCGATTCAATTTTCTTCATGTTTGAAATGGAAAAGCTAGCAGTAAACAGCAACACATTTTGTTATATGAAAAATCAGACAGTAAAAAAAAAGGTTTTGAAACTGACAAAAACATACATAAATCTTTATCTTATTAATTTGTTAGCAATTTAACATGGGCTGCAAAACAACCTATTGGAGAGGAATTCCATGTTTAGTAGTATCTTATATATTGCTAATGTTTCATCAGTCAAAAAGAGACTTAATTATTAGTAGTAACAGAAAACATAATTAAAATAAGATTCATTTTTACCTCGTCACCCTTCTCACCAGGTAATCCAGAATATCCACGCTCACCTTTGCTTCCCTATGAAGACACCATATGTAACAATCACTCTACTGTTTTCCAGCAAACACTAGGAGAATGTAACTTTGAATGTGCTGAGCAGACTTCAAAGAAGAGCCAGATATCAGTCAAAACACTCAGTCTCTGTAACTATGCCAATGTAGCTGCTTTTCAAGTTACTATCCCCACATACCAAACCATGTAGTTTCTACAACTCTTTACCTTTTTACCCGGAATTAAGGATTTGGGCCAGGGGAAGAGGAAAGGTTTTAAAAAAAAGATTCCCTTACCTTTGGTCCTTCTCTGCCAGGGATTCCTGGAGGGCCTCTTGGCCCAGTATCACCCTGAAGGCAATAGTAATAATATACATCAAAGGAACTGTCATATCTACACTCCACAAAAGGCACATATTCAGGATGCATTCATTCAACAATATTTATTAAATGCCTACTATGTATAATTCAATTCAATAAATATTTATTAGTTGAATACCATCTACAATATAATGTTTTAGGTGCTGGTGGATATACAAAGATAAATAAGACACAGTGTCTCCCTTCATGAGCTTAAAGTCTAATAAGATGAGATAGCACAGTATACAAATAAAAACAATACCAATTAGACCATGGTAAGGGCAGAAGAGGAATAGAAAGTGCTTTGAGATCATTTCCATGCTTACCTTCCCTGCTGCATAATAATTTCTTCCAGGTTCCCCAGCTCCTCCTTCTTCTCCTTTGGCAATTTTTAACCCCGGGATACTAGGATGACAGCTGCCACAAACATTCTGTTAGGAATGGACAAAGGCCTAGTGACTTTAGTCATGCATAGTAAGCACATTTTGGTCAAATCCCTCAGGATCTGGCTTCTATTTCAATTTAGAAATAGAGACTAAAGGTTGCTGTTGCCATAAACACTAGAATATATGAAAAAATAAAGCCTATAATGAAAGGTTTTCTCCTTTTAAAACTATTCAAAGTTATTTGGAAAAAAAGAACGTAGCTTGAAAATAAATTTGTTTACCAGGGGAGGAATTCATCTGAGAAATAATTGTTAGTGTGACATTGGATTATTATATCAAATCCAAAAACTGATAAAAATTTAAGGAAATTCCCTGTCTTTTGCTTTATTAATTCCTTTTCTAAGTACTAAGTAGTTTCCACCTTTCTCCTTTTTGAAAATTGAAATTGCATTTCAATTACTTTTAGATTTAGTTTAGTAGAACCTTATGCTTTAATGCTTGGATTCACAACTCAAACATAAGATTTATCACATACCTAATCTCTTAACTCTGATCCCTTCTTGGCTTTCTGGTCTTCTTATACTTTACTCTCATATACTCCATGATCCAACAACCTTGGCCTATTTTCTGTTCCTTACACACAACATTCCATTGCCCCATGCCTTTGCACTGGTTCTCACCCATGCCTAGATATGCTGTACCTCCTCACCTCCAATATACTGAAATCCTTGCTTTCCTTAAAGACTCAGTTTAAGTGCCACCTACTGAAGGAAGCCTTTACTTGATCACCCTAGATTCCAGTGCCTTCCCTTTCATGGTTACTCTGTTTTTGATTTGTATATGCCTAGATATGTACACTATTAGAAGATGATCCCCTTGAGAGGAGGGACTATTTCACTTTTGTCTTTGTATCTCCTGCACTTAACACAGTTTCTGTGGCTTAGGCTTTTAATGAATGCTTACTGACTTCTCTGTGTGTGTGTGTGTCTTTCTCTGTCTCTCTTCTCTGTCTCTGACTCTCTTTGTATTTCTTTCTTTCTTTGTCTCTCTTCCTTTATCCCCCTTTCCTTCCCTCTCCTCTCTGAAAAAAAAACCCACCACCCTGGGGGCTTTACTTGACCATTAGCTTAATATGAATCAATAGTATGGCAGAGCTGCTAGAAAACTCTCATGCAATAGCATGTATTAATGAGTATACATCAAAGGAGTCTATGTCTGCCCTCTAAGAACAAGGCTAGTCAAGTTCAGAAAGGATGGGTTATGAACTACACTGGTAAAGAGAGTACCCACATGGATGACATCACAGCTCTTTGAAATATCCAATTATTTAAGTTCATAGTGCATGTAACGCACTGTTCTGGGTGCTATATGAAACTCAAAGATAATTAAGTCATGGTCTCTATTACTACAGAGTCCACAATTATTTCAGGATGATCCGAGGGTGGGATAAGGGTATTTAAAATATGGAGATAGTACAAATTCACAAATATGCAATGCTAGATAATAAATGGACAGTAAGTAAAATGAAGAATGGGGGCAGCTAAGGTGGTACAGTAGATAGAGCATTGAGCTTTGAATCAGGAAGATTCACTTTCCTGAGTTCAAATCACTTACTAGCTGTGTGACCTGGGGCAAATCACTTAACCCTGTTTGCCTCAGTTTCCTCATCTGGAAAAGGAAATGACAAACCACTCCAGTATCTTTGCCACGAAAACCTCAAATGGGGTCATGAAGAGTCAGACACAACTGAAATGACTGAACAACAGAAAAATGAAGGAGAACTTAGGAGAGGTACATAGTCCTAGGTAACATACAGGATGAAAAAAGTTCATTTCCAATCTGGGAAAATAAATACTCTTTAAATGTCATATGAAGAATTTTTTTTAACAGAATTGGAATGTTCAGTCTAGGGAAAAGAAAACTTGGGGAAGGGGAATGATAGATGTTTTGAAATATTTTCAGGGCTGACCTAATGAAGAGGGAATTATTCTAGAGGGAAGGAGGGGTAAAAATTGTAGGGAGGCAGATTTCAGTTTAATATAAGGAAAGATTTGCTAATAACCATACATGTTAAACAGTAGAACAGATCGTTTTTCAGAGAACTGAATTCCTAGTCATTCATAGTGTCCAAGCAGAGGCTAGGTGACAAAATGTCAGGAACTTCACAGAGGAGATTGGGAGGGAGGCTGTGTCACATGACTTTAAAGTACCTTCCAACTCCGAGACTCTATTCAAAAAGCTTTCTTTTTTTCTCTTTATAACATCAACCCTTAATGCTCAGAAAAGATGTCATTTTAAACATATGATATTCATATTACATCCAATTACTATTCAATATAACATGCTAGTGATTAGCACAGTGCCCTGTACATAGGAGGGGCTTAAGAATTCTTGTTCACTTGACATACTATAGGTAAAGAGGAAGGATTTACTATTCAGTCCATTAGAATCCTTTAAAATAATAGCATGCGGGGCAGCTAGGTGGTGCAGTGGATAGAGCACCGGCTCTGGATTCAGGAGGACCTGAATTCAAATCCGACCTCAGACACATAACACTTACTAGCTGTGTGACCCTGGACAGATCATTTAACCCCATTGCCTAAAACAACAAAAACAAACAATAAAATAATAGAATGCAAAAGCTGCAAGGAACCTAAGAAGTCATCTAATCCCAAACTCTAAATTTACAAATGAGGAAACTATGGCCCAGAGAGATTGTGTCCTAGGTGATGCAGCTAGTTAATGCCAAGACCTATGTAAGAATTATAGTCTCTTTCCTCCTAGATCTGTTATCATCCTTTGCCATTCAAAATTTGCCTTCAGCTGCTTATTATTTTTCTATTTTTCTTTAAAAAAAACCCCCAAACTACCAAATTACCCCTCCAGTAGATTTAGGCTTGGTATTCATAAATCATATTCATTTTTATTGTTCTGTTCTGTTTTCTGATTAATTTGCTATTGTATTTGTCTTCGAGGTTCCCCAGGAGGTTTTCTTTTAGAATGATGCATTACTCTATCAGGTGTTCATTGCTAGAGCCTTGACCATATTTTTGTAAATAGGAGCATAGTACATATAGGCAGTATGTACCTTATGTTGGTGAAGTGCTTCTGAAACTTGGACACCTCAATGGATTTGTGATTTCATCTTTCCTTTTGCCAACTCAGGCTAAAACCCTTCCATCTTATCTTGGTCTTCAGGACTCTTGTTCATATATTTTCACAAACTTCCTCTGAAGAATCCATCAGAAACATGCAAGGGCCATCTTCTTGTCCTTTTTAATGGAACCTGTGATTCCAGTGGTATGTAAACTCCTTCTACCAGTGCAGATTGGCACCTACTCTTCACCTTACTGTCTTAAAGGATTGCCTAGGGGCATTGAAAGGCTAATTTAAGAGTTTAAGCACAGGGTTACCTGGCCAATTAGTGTTAGAGGCAGGCCATGAACCCAAGTCTTCCTGACTCTGGGGTCCACTCTCCAGGCACTACGACATGCTGCTTCTGTTTTCAATATATAAGACGCCAATCCACAATTTTAGCTGTCTATTGTCTCTCATTCTTGCTACATGAACAGCTCTTTTCTTTTCCTCCTACAAAGCGCTTTACAAGGTCATTTATTGCAAGTGATTCTTATTTTAGCTAATGAAGCCCTGGAACCACAGCACCTCAGGGTTCTCTTGTTTCTTATAAGCACATTAGGACTTATGGACTGTATCCACAAGAGGCAAGTATATTCAAACAAAGATAGCCTTCGCCCCCGAGATTACTCTGTTCTTTAACTGGCTTAACCCTACTACTTCTCTACACATCTTATACAACTTGAAATTCCTACATTCAGTGAATGTATGTGGTGCTATTTTTAAAACTCTTCTTTTAAAATTGTTTTGAGGTTCTAATGACAGCTCTTGATTAATGGAGATTAAAGGCCCTGATGTTTATTGTTGTTGTTGTTTAGTAGTTTCAGTTGTATCCGACTCTTCATGATCCCACTTGGGAGGCAAAGATACGGCAATAGTTGACTATTTTTTTCTCCAGATCATTCTACAGGTGAGGAACTGAGGGTTAAGTGACTTGCCCAGAGTCACACAACTAGTAAGTGTCTAAGGCTAGATGTGAACTCGGAAGATGATCCTTCCTGACGCCAGGCCCAGCACTCTGTTGACTGGGCTACCTAGCTGCCTTCTGATGTTTATTACTCCGATAAAAATGCACATACAATATTAGGAAGAGAACACTCCTCTCATTACTGGATCATTAGGCTGATGCTGTGGTTTAGTTAACAACACATTCTTATACAGAGAGAGCTGCTATTCCTATGAATATAACTGTGATACATACAAGAGCTAGGTACATAACCCACACAAGGTAGGGGACTAGAAAAAAAAGGGATATTGCATTGTGCTTGTGGCCCCAGTCCCCACACTTTCTGCTCACAACACATAGATACAGACATAGATTATTTTTACGTTCAGTTGCTCCAAAACACAATGTCTTGTTAAGCAGAAGTATGGAGAAACATCAGAGCGAAAACTAAAACTTTGTGTTTAACTTTGAATTTGTAGATGGATAAATGATTTCCATCCAACTTAATAATAAGCTAGCTGCTATGCTTGGTAGTACTCTCTCCTCTCTTTGTACAGTTCCTTGATATGATATGTTGGTCCCTTATGTTGTTTTGTGAAAACAAGCTGTGATTAACCTTTCTTCTCTGATCTTGCTTACCACTGTGTTTTCTAACTCTGTCTTTCACACATGTATTCTAGTTATCTGTATTTGGGTTTTATTCCCTATTAGATTGTACTTACTCAAGACAAGTAAAGCAAATGGGATAATGGTTCCCATGAGGGAGCAAGGTATGTAACTTCCTATTAAGAGAACACTGCAGAGCGTTTTCTATTAGGAAAAAACTCCTATAGAAAAAGAAAATAATCTGTTCAGGGTTGCTAACGTTACTATCTCCTTTACATAGCTTACTTTAGGACTAGGTCTATTGTGCCTTCCCCAAGAGAAGTAGAGCAGCCATGGTAGAGGGATTAATATAAGGCACAAAACACAATGAGCAATATTCATCCCTTAATTATTTTTAAAACATATATCCTACCTTTTAAATTTAACATCGTTGATGAAACTAAACAAGCCCCATCTTGTAAGAGTATCCTGGCTATTTCCTTAGAAATGAACAGAAACAGATAATCTTACATAACAGTGGATTACCTTCAACATAGCACCAATATCTCCCAAAAGAGGAAGTGCAATCTGTAATAAGACCAAAGAGACAAATAAATGCAATTAAAAATAAACAAACAATAGAATCTACCCTAAATTTATAACAGTTTGCTACATCCTTGTCATCAGAATAAATGTCATTTTAAGGTCACATATCATTCAATTTACGTATTTCAAGTGAGAGAGATCCAAGAATTTCATTGCAAAAGAATTACCCTTTTCTGAGAATATTTCACCTGCAGTAATGCCCCCAAATACTCCCACTGATTACAGGCTGGATTACAAAGAAAAATTTATTTAGAAAGAGAAAATATTATTCCACTGAAAAGTAGTTGTGCAGGCTGTTTAGAAAAATGAGAGAATTTTTGCATTAATCTCTTCACTTTTATTTCCCAGTGAAGCCAAAATAAGGCTAGAGAGGGACATACATATTGGCAGACCCTTATTTTATTTTTTATTTACACCTTACCATGTCCTTTAGCATGGTGATTCTATAAGCTAAAATAGATTTTTTTTAAGCTTACAAACTGATTCACTTATTAGTAGAGTTAAAAATAAAGACCAAATAGATACCCACACTTGGCTTGTTAAGTCAGAAAAGGTTCAGGGTGTGGAATGGTGAGAGATTTGTATGGTTAAATACATGGGATCAGATGGAGACTTCATCATTCAAAATGACTAATTGATTGCCATGTTCTATGTGGTTGCCACATTTAGAAATTCTGGTACCGAGCTATTTAAGAAGATTTTATTGTACCTGAAAATAAAGATATATTCTAAAGCAAAACCTTGAAAAAATTTTATTGATCTAAACTAATTTTGAAAAACTTATTGCTTCCAATTATCACAGTCATTTCCATCTCTTAAAGTATTAGCATTCATGAATGCATATAATAATCCAGGCTAGTTACCTGTTAAGGTTTCATTTGGAAAATAATGAGATTTATTAAGAAGCTAGCACTAGGAAGGGTCAAACCTCTACCTATATTTTGACTATAATTGCTATTGGATTGAAACATTAAATGCCCAAACTCAGCTGGGGTCAAACTTTTCTAGCTGAATTACAAACCTTAGAAAATGAATGTTTATCACAAAACAATGCTGACACAGTCTGATTTTTCTCTCTAAAATAATGGAAGCAAACAAAACCACCAGGTAGCAAGGAAATATTCTAATTAGCTGTGATGATAAAAATCTGTATGCTCAGATAGAACTGTTTGGCTTTTGTGTGAAATTCTGGGAATTTCAAATACATAAACCAGGCTCAGCTTGCATACATACAGGGTCACCTGGGGGACCTGGCATCCCTGGCTTCCCATCTCTCCCTGGAGCTCCCTAAAAAAGAGAACATCATCTTTTAAATTCCTCAAATGAAGATAGGATTAATGTAAAATATTAGAATGTAAACCTGTTACTCACATCGGTCCCTGGAGTTCCTGGTAACCCAGGGAGGCCTCTAGGACCCTGAAAAGACAGAGAAATCATGATTACTTATGACAGGAGTCTTCTGACAATTACTGTCTATGAAGCATACTATATTCACTTAACCAAATGACTTAGTAAAGATTCTACCTGAATACCTGGCTCTCCAGAGGGTCCTCTGGATCCCTACAAATAAAAGCACAATCAATCAGAATTCTCTCTTTAGGTATAGATAGGTTAGGATGAGCATTTATTAAATGCCTACTATATATTAGGCATTGAAAGGACTGTAAATTATTTAGTTGAATCCAACAACTCTTTGGAAGATTTAACAAAGTCTCCATATAGTTAACATAAAACAACCAACCCCATAAATCACACACACTTATTACAGCTGAAATATTAATGTCTTTAAAATTCAGGTTTTTAAAAAATTCACTATTAATAGAAATTCCCATTCTTTTCAGCAAAAATATGGCTGTTCAAACAACAGTTGTTCAGTTGTTTCAGCTGTGTCTGACTCCTCATGGCCCTATTTGGAGTTTTCTTGGCAAAGATACTGGAGTGGTTTGTCATTTCTTTCTTCATTTCATTTTACAGATGAGGCAAACACGATTAAGTGACTTGCCTAGGGTCCCACAGCTCGTAACTGTCTGAGTTGAACTTAGGTCTCCCTGACTCCAGGCCCAGCACACTATATACTGTGCCAACCAGCTGCCCATCAAATAATATACCCATTTCTTATTTCTGCAGCAAAGGTTTATCAAGCTGGATGCAGCATGATAGAGAGTAAAGAACACTGGCTTTTGTGTCAGAATATCAAGGTTCAAATCCTACCTCTGATAACTTACTACTTGTGTTGGGCAAGTTATTGAACTTTCCTAGGCTTGTTTTCTGCATAAATAAAATGAAGGAAGTAGCTTGGCCTCTGAGGCCCCTTCCAGCTCCAGGTCTGGGCCCATGGCTTCTTTTCCTTGCTGCTTTTCATTAATTGTTTGATGGTGCCTTAAGAGCTGGTATACAATCATCAGGGTAGGAAGTAAAACTCAAATCAGTCAATTTTTCTAATTTTAAAAGTTTAAAATTTAGGGGAACTAAAAGGAAGCTTAGGATTTGTTTAAATATTTTAATTATTTAGACTCTTCCTTGATCCTACAATAACAATAACTGAAAGTGGGCAGATCAACCTCACACTATAGGTAGATGAAACACCTGGATAGCAGCTTTCTGGTCTTTTCCTCTCTTCCTCTCCCTTAGCTTTTCTTCCCTTCCCTTAGTTTTTCTTTCCTTCCCATCCCTCCCCTTCTTTCCCTTAGTTTCCCTTCCCATCTCTTCCTTTCCCATCTCTTTCCTTCCCTTCTTTGTTCTTCCCTTCCTATCTCTTCCCTTCCCATCTCGTCCCTTTCCTTGCCTTTCCATCCCTTAGCTTTTCTTTCCTTCCCTTCCCTTTCCTTCTCATCACTTTCCTTTCTTTTCCTTAGCTTCCATTTGTATTCCTTCCCACTGGTGATATAAAAGCAAAAATAAAAGAGTCTACCCCTTCACAAATTTTGTGTTTGGCAAGGGCAACAGCATGTTATCTCCAGTGTAGACTGGAAGCTCCTCTGCAATTTGTAGTCCTAGAAAGTTGCCTGGGTCACTGACAAGTTAAGTGGCTTACCAAGAGTCACGTGGCTATCCTGAATAAGAGACAGAACTCAAATGCAGGACTTCCAGCCTCTAAGGCCAACTCTCTCTCCACTATTCCAAGCTGCTTCTTTTCTATCAATTTGATTTTTATTACTTTTTCTCTCTTTTTCCTTTGTATTTTCTTTGACTAAGAATTCCCAAACTATAATTCCCAATACTACTTTTTCCTTTGCTCAATCTTCTATTTCCAGCTGTCTCTTATATTCTTTCTCTGGAAAACTAACTGCCTGACAAAACAGATTACTTCATTGTGGCCCCTTCCCACCCACTCCACCTTTTAAATCTCTGGATAAATTCAACAAAGACCCATTTCCAAAAAAGAGTATGGTTAAAAGAACATTTTATTCACCCTTCTTTTATTTTCAAATTCTATGTGTTTTTAGGAGTAATTTTAAAATGTTCTTTCTACTCCTTCCTAATTGCTAAAACTCTTATATGGAAACTATTTCTTATAGTGCTTCATAATTCTACCCATTTAAAAATATGAACTTTATAATTTATCATAATTGTCATTGGTGTGAATTTAATTACTACTGACAATAGGGGAAAACCCTAGATATACCCAGGATGAAGGTGCCAGCCAGGAAGAGAGTAAATCCACATGTACTTGACCAAAGGCACATCCACCATATAATCACAGGCAGCAGAGCTTTTATTGGAGAGAAACTGAGAGAAAGGCCATTCAATATTCAGCAGAGGGAGAGCAACTATACAGCTCACACTGCTATAATTATGTTCTCGTTAACTGCTGCTCCTGGTAGAAGTACATAATGCGGGTTCTTTAAGGATCAGCATCAGAGATTCCTTCAATGCTGGAGATCTGATCAGCTGCTAAGGGATATCAATCTGCTGCATGAGTTTCTGTTTTTCTGTGGATCAGCTTACCCAAGGTTGGAATAAGGAAAATGTGCTTTCTTGTGTTCCTGAAAGAGTAGGGATCCTTAGGTTAGGAATCCTGCTAGCCTGTGTGTGTCTGAGGGCAGTGGAAAGGAACCAGGGAAGTGACATGCGCTGGTCAGGTTGCTATGGGTTGATAGCCACTGGCCAGCACAGCTCCAAAGTAGGAGAACCAGCAATGGTTCTGAATTACTCTGAATTACCCTGAAGGCTTGACACCTGAGAAAATAGAGAGCACTGTCTGCTTCAGCATCTGTGCCATTGTCAAAGCGTTTTGTAATGTTTTAATAGTTGTCATTAAACATGTTTTAAGGGAAGTTTCTTTGGGGCAGCTAGGTGGCACAGCGGATAGAGTGCCAGTTCTGGACTCAGGAAGACTCATATTCAAATCTAGCCTTAGACACTTACTAGCTATGACCCTGGGCAAGTCACTTAACCCTGTTTGCCTCAGTTTCCTCATCTGTAAAAGGAGCTGGAGAAGGAAATGGCAAACCACTCCAGGATCTTTCCTAAGAAAACCCTAAAAGGGGTCACAAAGAGTTGGACACAATTGAACAATAGGTTTCTTTTGTCCTTATTTTACATGAAAGAAAGGGGGTAAAGTGACTGTCTCCAATCCCATAGTGAGTAAAGGTAGAGTCACTATCAGAAGCTTTAGCCTTAGGTCTTAGAAAGCCATTTCCCCTGAACAAATTATTAGCTTTTAAATATATCAGTTTACCATGTCACTTCCATGCTCAATAAACTCTAGTGACTCAGTATTATCTCTTAAATCAAATATATGTTCCCTGTACCTTCCTCACCTGGCTTTACCCTACCTTTCCTGGATTATTTCACATCATTCCCCTTCACTCACTCTCTAATCCAGGCAAACTGGCCTTCTCCTTGTTCCTCACACATGACATTCAATCTCCATCTCTATGCCTTTGCACTTGCTATTCTGCATGCCTGAGATGTACTCCCTCCTTATCTCCATTTAATGGAATTCATTTCCTTCCAAAGCTCAGTTAAAATAATACCCTCGTAGGGGAGGCTTTTCCTAATCTCCTCCAGCACTAGTCTTCCTTTCCTAATTACTTTATATTTATTTTGTATAGATTTCTATATGTAGAAATTATCTCTCCTGGTAGAACATAAACTTCTTAAGGGCAGGAATTATTTCCTTTATGTCTTTGAATCCTCTGAGCCTTGCATGGTGCCTGGCACATTGTAAGTGCTTAATATAACTTTGTCAATTGAATCAAATCCAGCTGTGTGCAGTTCTATGGCCCTTTTCTTCTCTATGTTCAGGAGTTTGCTACCTTGACTAGACTAATATTTTCCAAAAGTCTTTTCACTGCTTTCACCTTGTTCAGGCCAATTTCATAGATACATTCAATTTTGTTCCTTTCTCCAACTTATCTCCTGCATTGCTTTGAATTTCTGTGAAGGCTGCCTCCCCTCTTCTCCATAAGTTTGTAATCTTTTCTCTCTTTTTTTTTTTTCCTGACAGCCCATCCTTTCTATGAAACTATACTATGTCTACAATCAGAAAGGTCCCTGATCCAAGCAGTTTTTCAATAGAATTGGTATTATTTCTCAGATGATATCACCTTTTAAGCCAGAAAATAAGTGAAATGGATTCAAGCATCAGTTAATGTTTAGACTTAAGTGATATCCACATGTCCCTTCTATGATCTCAGACAGTCCCGACAGGCTTAGTTCAGGGACCATGGGAAGTGACCAGGTATCCTTAAATGTCTTGTAGATAGTTGAAACAATAAGAACAATATCAAGAAGCATATCCTATTGGTATAAATGTTCACAAAAGTCCTCAGTTCATTTCTCTTACTGGTTGGCCAGGAATTCCCATTCCTGGAGGTCCGATGTCACCAGGGAGTCCATGAACACCTGGCAGTCCTCTTTCACCCTGTGAAATGACAGATTTCCACTAATGTATACCTCAAGGAGAACATATTTCTGCTGCCATACATTGTCAATTTCTTTTAATGTAGAAGTCTTATCATTTTCCTACCTTTGGCCCTCGTGGACCAGGTGTCCCTGGAATTCCATCAAAGCCCTGAAAGAATGAAGAAGCAAGTAGTTGAACACTATTTTTGTCTCCTTGAACAATCAGAGATTTTGGAAAGTCAGTGTCTAAAATAAGTTACTTAGATCATCATTCCAAGTACATGTGCTTTTGCCTTTAGGAAAGGAAGGTAAGATTTAGGCAATCTACAGATTGGAATGACTTTAAAGAGATGGAAGGTATGTTTTATTTTAAAATGAAAACATGTATTAAAATATATTTCTTGGTGGTAGGAATTCATGTTACTGACACTAGAGAAAAGTTACAAAAAGGATTATGAAATAGTAATACTATGTATAACTGTTTAAAGTTTATAACTACACAGAATTTTCCATGTGCTACCTAGACCTTAGCCTAGACTTGACCTTTTTTTTTTTTCTGAAATGACTCTCCCCACCCAACCTCTGCCGGACTTCTTGATGAAGCTTCAAGATTCTGCATTAGTTCTGGACAGAGCAGGCTTACCTATCATCTAATGCAGACCAGCATAACTTGGCAATAGGTAGGGACCAAAACTAAAACAGGCTAAATTTCTCCAGCCGCAGATAGGTTTTTAGCAGCTCACTTTTCAAGTAAAGGTAACTAGCGACAGACTGACAATGGTTGGTTGCTGCAGGTCATGTGACAAACAAGACAGCGCGTGCAGTGGCAGGCCCCCCAAAATCCTTTGCTGAGCACCAAGCAGCCTACAGTCTGTATGTTTTTGCAGACCTGATCTAAAGGGTGAAATAAGGCTACCCACATTGATTTGCCCATATGAGCTACTCAAAACTAGAAATATGTATGATTATACAGTGATTATCATGAAGGGAAATATGAATGTTAAGAATCATACTTACTGGTTCACCAGGCAGGCTTATACCTGGGGGACCTGCTTCACCTTTTGGACCTGGATATCCAGGAGGTCCTATAATTCCACCAGGATCTCCCTACAAAAGGTAGAAAAAAATGATAAATTAATTATTAAGTAATTTTTAAGGAAAGAAGCTAGTAGATTACATTAGCCTCCTGACTAGTATGTCTCTGTCTGCTGCTTGCTTCTGTCTCTGTCTTTGCAAACCTTAAAGCTCCACATATTATTATTATTATTTATTATTGTTATTGTTTCACAACAGGCACAGTGGCATTGTTATGCAAATAACAATTTCAAATATGTGTTTAGTTGGTGGCATCTCTACAAAATATTAGGTGAAATAATTTAAAAGGATTCCCTGAGTAACCAATCAACATTAATATCTGTATACAGCATTAATATCCCCCAGTAAAGATCAGTAAAAGAGATCTCCCCTTCCCTCTCCAGGTTAAATTGCTTCTTATTAACGTACTGCTTTAGTAAGAGAGCCAGAGATGGAGTATCAGATTTCACAGATCCTCAGTTCACTATGTCTATAGGTTTTTTATGCTATACATATTTGGGAAAGCCAGTCCTTTTCAATCCTATTTTTTTCACTTTCCTGAAAGAAGGCTTTTCTATATCTTTCAAATATATCAAAATATATATGTTAAAAAAAAAATCAAATTGAAATCTTGCCTTTTCTCCTTTAATGCCTTGTTTTCCTGGAATACCATGTTCTCCTGGTAATCCCTGGGCAATTCCAAAATAAAGGAAACAAATTATTGAAAAATGATTTTAAGGCAGACTTGTTTTTGTGATTCTTAATACTAAGAATGTTATATTAATAAAAGAAGTACAGAGAAATTAGACCATTTGGGGACTGTTGGGCCAGGTAAGAGAATTCCTAGTAGGAGTACTTGAGCCCACTGGTTTATGTGAGGCCTGGTAGAAACAGTTGATATACTTATCGACTGATAAAGGGAGACACAAAACTCATTCCCCTCCTGGAAGAGTTTCTGCCAAAGACAAAATGAGAACAAATGCTTTGGAACATAGTTACAAGGGAGACTTCTGGTTCAAGAGGAATTGATTGTAACATATGGCAACAATCCGTAGGAAGGAAAAAGGACAGGAATCTTTTTTACTTATTGGCATTTCACATTCTTTTCTTCCTTTTTTGCTTTTATTTTTTGGAAGCTTTTGCCAACCCCTCTTAATTCTAATGCCTTCCCTCCATTAATTATTTCCTATTCATCTTGTATATAGCTAGCTTTGAATGTGTTTATTTGTGTGTTATTTTTCCCCATTAGATTTGCAAGCTCTTTGAGGGCAGGGACTATTTTTGCCTCTTTTTGTATCACCAGTGTATAATGTCTGACACACAGTAGGTGCTTAATAAATGTTAATAGACTGATTGAGATACTAGCTATTATTCTTACCTCTCAGCCAAAGTGTGGCTCTAGCTCCTATATTTATGAATCAGCTTTTTTTCTCTTTCTTTTTCTTCCTTCTTTCTGCATCTTTTCTTCCTTCCTTTCTTTTTTCTCTCCTACCTCCCTCTTTTCTCTTTCCCTTTCATTCTTTCTTTCTATTTTTTTCTCTTGGTTAATTTATATATTCCTTTCATTATTTTACTTTAACTCTCTTTTTCTTTATTTCTCACATTCTCTATGTTTATTTCTTTCTCTTCCTTCCTTCCTTTTTTCCTACTTCCCTCTTTCCCTTCCTTTCATTCTTTCTTTCTCCTTTCCTATTTCTTCTCTTGCTTAGTTTAGATGTCCCTTTCATTATCTCTTTAACTTTTGCTGTATTTCTCACATTTCTGTTTTTCTTCCTTCATTCCATCTTCCTCCTTCTTTCACTCTGTCTTTCCTTTGATCCCCTCTTCCTCTCCTATCTCTTATATTTTGCTATTTTGTTTATGTTATTATCAGGTTAGTGTTTTTGTGTTATCAGGTGACAAAATTAATAAAATACTTTTCTCCACACATCACATGACCAAGGTAACATGAGCCTAGGTCATCATGATAAATTATGTACAATTTGCTCCTGAGTCTCTGCTCCAGCTGGGGAAATACATCCATTACCCAAACAAAGCTCATTCAAAACATTTGCTGTTTTAGCAGTATTTCCAGGAAGAACAGTTTGGGGGCATAATGAAATAGATGAAGTGTTTTTAATACTGGAAATTGCATTTGCTCTTTGTAACAGATACTCTCTTTGCCTTTTCCTAATTTCACTTTCCCTAATATCCTCCCTTGATGTTCCAACTTTATTCCTGTCTCACTGGATACAAGTGCCTTGAGTTATTGAAGGGAATGAGTAAAAGATATCCAGTAAATAATACATGTGTTTACAAATAAGAATGCATGAATAATTCCATGACACATACAGAAAGCTTTAGGATGTATCTCATTTTAAGAATTTCATATCTATAGATTTTAAAGTAAATATGCAAACCTTCACCAAAAACACCAAAGTAGTCCAAATATACAAGATGATCTAACTGCCCAATTCATGTGCCTGATTCTAGAACCCAAATGGTAGATTTCCCTTCTTTGGAGGAATTCAAGATAGATTGGAATGCCATTCATCAGGTATGTTAGAGCTGTGATTCTCTTCTAGTATGAGTTGGACTAACTGAAGTCTTTTCCAACTCTAAATTCTGTAATTCTGACTTTAATGATATTTCAGTTATTCTGAATGAGTATATTGATGTAAGAAGTATTTTGATGTCTTTTTTCATGTTTGAGACTCAGACATAATTGGCCAGTAACCGCACCAAGACCACTTTTCTTTCAATCCAGTGGAAATATTACTTAATCTTACATGATTGCTTCACAATTCCTTCTTCATACCCTAGAAGTCTAAAACCAACATTTAATTAATAATAGTTTTAAAGAATCCCTAAGTAGGCTAATGATATTTAACAGGGCCTTGTGTCACAGTTGGTTATTGACTTCAAGTGAGCAGGTGCAAAAGCATTTAGTGGAGGTGATGACTCATATCCTGCTCCATCTGAAAATCATGCACTTCAGAAAACATAAAATAAAGTGGTCACATGAAGAGATCTTAAAATTCTCAGAAACTATCTTTTTGTTTTTGGTGGGATTATTGCAAGCTTAGTCCCAAAGCTTTTAGTACATGATATCTCATTTTGCTAAATCAGAAACACAGATGTCTTCTATGCTTACAATATTTCCTGGAGGTCCTCTGGGTCCTATGGAGCCTGCTGGTCCTTGCTGACCCTGTATAGAAGTTGATATGTATTTTAGCTCCAAAGAAGATACTATATCGAAACATAACCCCAATACACATAATGACTTCAGTGACACCTTTTGTGACTATTAAATAATTTCTTGGTCTATAGGAATGTGTGATTGTCACAGATATTACTGTCCCTTGGTAGCAGGTTAGAATACATTAGACTTAAAGGGACTTTTTACCAAAGTTTCCATTTAAAGAGGTCTATTATCAACAGCAGGTGATGCCTGGGTTACATGCCTTACCCATTAATAGGGTATATTCTTTGCTAATCTCACTCAACAGCTGCTAGCAGTTGGGACACTCCTGCAAAAAGGTTCCTACACTTGGAATTCAAGTATTTGGAAGCTAGGTAATTGGTATAGGCACGAAGTCATCTAAATTCCCTTTCCTAGTAGAAGGAAATCATTTTAAGGATTGAGACCAAGGATTATGGTTTTTGTTACCCCTCTTGATTCTTTTGACTTTTAGGTATTTAATGGCAAATATACCTTTGGAACTCCCAAAGCATCAACATTATGTTGTAGATCATATGGCACAGATATGGTGAGTACAGCAAATAAGTGAATGTACACATCATGGAGAGCACTGTAAAGTCATCAAATCATGTATGACTGATAAACCCACATCTTTTGCTTTAAACAGAAAATTGGAATGTAGGATTTTTTTTTCATTTTATCTCTACTATAATTTCATATACCTACCTTAATTCCTGGATTTCCCACAAGTCCAGGGGGACCAGAATCTCCAGGTTCACCCTAAATTGAGAAAGACCAAAAATGATTACTTAATATTCAAAATAGCTTGAGGAAACACTATCAGTTTATAGATGAGAAATGAAAATGGTAATGAGATTACCTTCACTCCTGGTGATCCTTTTATCCCAGTTGCTCCCTGTAAATAAAATAAGCTTAAATTTAAACAGAAATACATGCTAATTGTTCAGCCTATATGAATAGTAACTGACTGGTATACAATAGATGGAAAATTTTAGATGATATGGTAAAGCTAAGAAAGTTTCACAGACTAGTCACAATCTAAACCTTGGATAAATTAAGTAAATAATATTTTTCTAATTTTCTTTCTCCTCAGTAGCTACAAAATTTTGTTTTCTGATTCAAATGCTATTTCTCCCATTTCTCTCATAATCATTATTTTTCGATAAAAATGTTATTCTAATATATAACCTTTTGTACATTTGACACCACTCAGCCAGCATTATTATAATTCAGTGCTCAGTTTCTCATGGAGAATTCAAATGACTAAAAAACAACCAAGAAGAACACTTAAACTACCATGTCCCAGATATTTTGTTTTCATGTAAATGTACCATATGATCATAGGAGTTAGAGCTGAAAGAGACCTTAAAGATCATCTCTTCCAGATCCCTCATTTTACAGATGTGAACTGAGGACTAGAGAGGTAAAGAAATCTACTCATAGTCACACAGCAGGGAAGTGGGTAAAGTGGAACCTGAACTTCAATCTTTTGATTCCAAGTCCATAGCTGCCAATGCCAAGTCAACTGCCCAATGCTGGATTGATTTTATATGACCATAAATGCCTAATCACTAACTGCAAAAGAAAATGTGTACTCCCAATAAACAATGAAAAAACCTAACAAATGACACCATTTAATAAGCTTCAATAACTTCCAAAGATTAAAGTAAAAAAATTCAGAGTTCACAGGAATCAAGTAAAGTTCCCATGGACTCCCTCATCAACATTATTTATTGTAAAAATGCTCCTCCATCTTTAACCACTCCACTGTACCAAATAACCAAACAAATGCTCCTCCATTTTCAATTACTTCATTGCACCCTGTCAATATTTTATTCTCTTTCTTTTCCTATAATCCATATATTTTGTCATCAAGTCTACTTTCCTCCTCCTACCCTAGGGAAGGACAAGTAAAATCTAAAAGGAAACAGAAGAAATGGAAAACATCGGAAAGGAAGTTGATGTCTACTTAATGAATCTCCTTTTTTGCCCGTTTGTAAAAGGTTCTTCTTATAAATGTGCATAGAAAGCCATATCAATTATAACTATGTTACAGATTGACTTTTAGACATTAACTCTTTAAATGTGGCTGCATATTAGATCAAATTGAACCCTCCTTTACAAATATTTATTAACAATGAATTAGCACAGTAGAGAGCATTGTGTTGTTGTGGTACTAGAGGAGGCTAAGGCTGGCGCATAGCTGGAACTTGGGCATTTTAAGGTGTGGTAGACTGAGCTGATATGATGTTAGCACCAAGTTTTGCACCAGTTATGGGAACCCATAGGAAGAGAGATGGTACCCTAAAGAAAGCAGAACTGACCTACGTCTGAAATGGAACAGTTCAAAACTTCAGTATCATCAAGTGAGTGGATGCTGTACTTTCAGTCTGGGCAAGACAGGGAGCCTTAATCTCAGGAAAAAAACCAAAACCCAAACCCCAAACCATAAAAACTATGAACTAGAATGTCATGCAGAATGGCTGTGCTAGTTAAAAAGTAGCCCACTGGAATTAATTTTGAAAATCTTCCACAAAATGGAAAAGTAATTAGTCATTAATATTACTTAGGAAGTTCTGAATAGCTGACAAATTATAATGCTGTGAGATTAATGTAGGGTTCAAAACAGTCCAAATAAAAACAGAAAGACAGAATGTGTGTGAAAGCTGTAGAGCCATGAAGTAGCAGACCATTATCTTGAATTTTTAAAAATTTATTATTATTGATAAACTTTAACAAAGCTGATAAAAAACAAAATATAATCAATGGAAGTACTTGAAAAAAGTAAATGAATGGTTTATAGTTTTTCTTTATGCTTTGATTATTTACCGTTTGCTAAAACATAGGAGGGCAGTGGGCTTTAATAAGGAACATTATAATATGAGATTTGCTGCTTCTTAACAGTTTTAAAAATTTAAATGGTTGTAGTTGGTTTCTCTATAATTCTTTTGACTCCACTTTCTTTACTTTGCATCTGTGTATATTTCTCCCTATCTCTTTGATTTCTTCATATGCATCATTCATTACAATTCAATATTCTATTACATTCATGTACCACATTTTATTCAGCTGTTCTTTGTTTATGTTTTTAGTTCTAGTCATCTGACTGCAGATTTTATGCTATGAATGTAAATGAATAAAATGCAATTTATTAAGCACTTACTATGTGCCAAGCACTGTATTAAGGATTGGGGATACTAAGACAAAAAAAAAAGCAAACAAAGCACCTGTCCTCAAGGAGCTTACATTATGATGACATAGACTACACATATAGGTGAGTGGTGACCAAGGAGGAGAATTCTAGTCCAAAAGTTACAAGGATGGTGAATGGGGACACAACCTATCCAGGAATAGTGGCATTAATCTGGCAATTTGTAGTTCTTGAATGTAGTGGTTATTGAGACTATAGAAGAGATGACTAGAAATGAAGAGTAAGTGAAGGATAATGGGGGTCTAAGACCCTAGTATATCTAATTGTGAATATTATCATAAAGATAGATTTTTTTCTTCTTGTTAGTGATCCCTTTACAGCATAAATCTTGTAGTAAGCTTGATGGAGTCAAATGGAATGAACAATTTTACAATTATTTTCCACAGAATTCTAAGGTGTTTTCCAAAATAGTTACCACTTCCCAGCTCCATGAACATCAGCATGCTTGTTTTCCCACAGATCCACCAACAATGAGGTTTTTCATCTTTTAGCATCATTGCCAATCTTATAAGATAATACCACTGAATTGTTTTAATTCAATTTCCCTGATTTTGAGTAGTCTTTCAAATGGTTGTTAATAGTCTGTGATTCTTTCAAAAACTAATTGTTCATGTCTTTTGGCCACTTATTCATTGGAACATCACTCTTATTACATAAGTTTGTTTCTCTTCCCTAAAGATTTTGGATATTAAATTTTTATCAGAAATGTTTATTGCAAAGATCTTTCCTAGTTTGCAGTCTAATACATTCATATACATGATTAGAATTGTTTTACTTTCCATCCACCACATTCTTTTGTATTGTTTTTATAATTAGCTCATTAGCACCAATACAATCCCAGACTTTGCACATACTTCCAAACAAATGATCTCTTCTGTTCACACAAAACACAGAACCCAGGGATTCTCCCTCTATTGATATAATCCTTCCACTATTGTTTATCTTTTAGCCATGTCCAGGTAGGAGTATGGTTTAGAAGTTACTCCCTCTTCCCAATTCCTTGTCTCTTCCTTACCTGGTGGAGGTGTGGTGTCATAAGAAGAACCATTGCATTCCTTCTACTGTTTTTTTGCTTGTTTTAAAAAATTTTTTTAAATTAATTTACTCCTCTACTTGTTAAATGAGGTTTTAAATTAAATGTTCCAAACTTTTAAGTCTCATTTTTTCCATTTATTTCAGTTGATTAAAAATGTATTGATGCCTTTTAATGTCACATTCATTTCTAAATATTCTCCTCCTCTCCTCTCCAATGAAGCTTCCCTTGTAAAAGATTTTGCCCAGCAAAATGAAACAGCACAACTACATATGACAATATATGCAATATTCCACATTTGTAGTCCCCCACTTTTCCAACGAAGAAAGGAAGATACATTTTCTCATTGCTTCCCTGTAGCTAAGAATGGCCATTATCCTTCATTTATTTTAGTTTCATCTTTATGTCAGATATTTCTCTGAAAAATGTTTCTATAGATCCAAATGCTCTATAGAGCATTTATTAAGCACTTTGTGTGAAATACTGTGTTAAGTGCTGGAGATACAAATACATAAGCAAAGATGCTCCTGGCTTTAAAGAGTTTATATTCTAACTGGGGAAACAATATGCATAGGGAAGTGATAGCCAGGGAAGAGCACTTTGGCTTGGAAAGTTGAAGAGGTGGTAAGTAAGTTTATAAAAGAATAGACTGACATATCCCAGAAGTATTCTTTCTGATTGCATTTTTTGCTTTGTCTCATAATATTTATTCATTGTATTACAGACTTTTTTCTTTACTCATTTTTTCTATCATTCATTTTGCATTTATTTGAAGCGATTTTCCCTGTGAGGATATCTTTCCTTTCCTGTCTTTATTTTGTTTTTCTTCTATTTTGTCTTATACATTTGGAACTAATTTGAGGTGATGAGAAGTTAATGGAATTCTTAGTTTGAATGCTTTAAAATAGGTAAAGATATGTTTAAATGTATAGAATCATGATTTTTCTAAATGTGCTAGTTTTAATATTTATTTGCATGGTAAAATACTAAAATATTTAAAAATTAAATGAATGATTTAAAAAAAACATTTAAACACTTACTGTGGGTCTAGGATTGTGCTAAGAGCTGGTTATACAAATTAAAAAAGCAAAATAAATCTCTGCTTTCAAGGGCCTACCCTCTTATAGATGAAACAACATCTCAGACATTGGTAGCCATAGTGAGTCTGGGAAGTCACAGGAATAGTGAGTTAAGTCATCAGGCAATTGAAAGACATATTTCAAGGAATGGTTTTGTTGATTTCACTACTGTTCCCAGAGTGAAAAGAGAAAGGAGGGTGAGGAAGGTGATATAAATATGGTGAAATGGCATTAAAATGTCCAGAGAATAACTTGGTGGGTCAGGATAGGACTAAATATGATTAACTCTAACCAATAAGGAACCCAGGGCAGGAGATAGAGTACCAGATTGTAGGCCAAACGATGAAGCTGAGAGAAGTGACATGACATGGAGATGGCCAGAGAGAAGCATGTCTTGCATATGGGACACTACATGAGGCTTTCAGTAACGCTGACCTTCTCCCTGGTGAGCCTTGGCTGTTAGGAGCACAGCAGTCATTTTGTCCTCTTCAAGATGCGTCTTTTGGGAGAGAAGGACAGAGTCTTTTGACAGTTGAGTGGGTTCTAGTATAACTGTGTTTTAAGCTGGAGGT